CAACGTAAGATTTCTTCCAGCTATTTGGATATGTTCCACTCCTTATCGAAGTTGAAAATATCTTGAGAAGAAGTAGATTCATGTCATTTCCACCCTTTTTTAAGAGGACAGAAGACATTCCATCTGGGCCGGGAGTATTGGTAAGCTTAAGAGTTGTGGTAGCTTTATCGATTTCTTGGGCGTTAAAGACTACATCGCTTAAACACTTTTCTGTTTTACGAGGGAAATCTATATCCTGGTCGTTTTCTAGAATGTACAATTTGGCAAAGTGCGTGCTAAACACCTCACATATATCCTCATCACTTTCGTGAGTAATGCCACCTAGGTGTATTATTTTTGGATATGTTGATTTGGAGTTAGTTAACCTACTTTTGAAGAGTTTGGCTATTTCTCCAGTGTTATGTGGTGACTGAATTGCCCGCGTCTCTTTATTTCTAAGACTTAGATTTTTTAACTCATGGATTCTAATGAGGATTGTTTTGATAGCCATTAACAACGATAAGTCGTCATGTCTGTAGTAACTTAATGAATGCTTCCGCATACTTCTTCTTAATGATATTGGAATAAAATCACCTTGAGGAATTTTGAATTTAATCAGTTTCACAGGCGCTATGACATCATTAACCGACTATATATTGTCATAGAAGTTTTTAAGGACTTCCTCTAAGGAGTCATTGGTAAAGTAGGAATCCCAATTAGAGTATCTAATCAAGTCCTGATACAAGTCCCAGTCAACCTGCGTGTATAGTCTTATAGGTGTCGGAATAACTTTGTTTCTGTGTATAGTTTCTGGAGAAATATTAAACGAACATGCAACTATTTATGATCACTACCTGGGAATTCATGTCCCACATGAATTGTAGATGGTGCTACGTTGATCGTGAATATGAGATCAAGGATGTTATCGGACCTAGTGGGTACATTTATGTGTTGCGTCCATCCTCCTGTAATGATGGAATTAAGAAGATTATCATACCTCGAGGGTCCACGAAGTGTACGCCATGATATATCAGGCAAATTGAAGTCACCTCCAATTATATTATAACTGAAGGGAAGATTGGATGCAACACTAAATACGTTGCTGAGTACGTTATCGTATTCGCGGTTGGATGATGGCGGTCGGTATACACACCCTATAAGGATAGGTTTACTTCTGAGAACTTTTATTTCGACCCACACCGAATCATTAAGTTGTGACAGAATAGGGTGACTAAAATGCGTTGCACAAATGGGTTGTTTAACGTATATGAGTGTTCCACCCCCACGACCTGTTTCCCTATCCACTCGAAAAAGATTGTACTTATCAGTTGATAAGCTATCATCCGTAATATCACTTGAGCACCAGGCTTCAGTGATCATGATCAGCGACGGATTGCATATAGAGGCTAACGTACATAATGCTAAATGTTTGTTAAGAACTGATCTAGCGTTTATGAGGATGACTGATAGACTTTGACTAAGTGGTTTTAGTGTATGGGCAATATCATAATAAAATGCTCTATGGTTATCAGCTGAATATGTGCAGTCAATATTGGATTCATTAATTGCAACATTTTGATCACTAGAGACGTTTTCTTTAGTTTGATACTTAGAGATGGGTTGTGAGATGTCACTCGTGAGTGGTTGGTCGTTTAGATATTGCGTGCTATGGGAGATACTAGTATGATAATCTAAGGTATTACTATTGGTATTAGGTGTGTATAAAGTGTTTGCTATCTGTCGGGGAAGAAGCAGTTTCCCTGTTGTAAGGTGTTTGCTATACCAGCAAGGAATTGGTCTGACATCATATGTGCTATGTGCATGATCCCAGGCGTTTCTGCCAGTTGTCGCTGGAGAAAATTTTGGTCATATGGGTTGGCTAGAGTCATGTAGTCTGCATAGTTATAACCGAAATGGGTGGTCGGCGTGTTGTTGTGTGCATATGACTTAGATCCTTGTGTCTGGTTAGAGAACTTCCTAGGCCATGATGAGCATTGTGTTGAAATTGGCATGTGACTCCTACTGAATGCATGAGAATTATGACAGGGCGCTATACGTGTTTTTGGACTAACGTCTGTATTCTCAAACTGGTGTTTCCTGTACATCATGGTTGAGAGTGCATTCGTGAGGGGCTGAGCAACTTCGTGTTTTCGAAGTGTTTGGTGAGAAATGTGACGATTATTTTTTCTTATCATAGGACTAGTAGTGGAAGTCGGAAATGAGTAAGCTCCTACGGTATGTGAATTACGTCTAACTTCAGGAACATGACTAAGTTTAGATGATTGTCCACCAGTAGAATGAGCCAGTGACCCATTCGAAGCTTTCGTAATTATGGGCTTTAGTGTTCTGGGTCTAACGTTCGGTTTAGCTTTTTCCGTATTATTCGGCTTGTGTAATTTGGGCTGCTGGTGATCATTAGGATTTCCCAATAAACTGGATTTCTGTTGAATAGTATCAAAAGTTCTTTTGGTGTTCCTAACGGAAATAGGACGCTTATCATATCGCCTTGTATTTACGCCTACCTGGGTGGCCACGTGTGATTGCTGCTTCACAGTTGCCGGGCTAAGAGGTTGTGCGGTATATGACTTCCCGAGAGATTCAAAGTGTACAACTGAATTCAACTTAGACTTTTTTTTTTTTTTGGCATAAGTGCCAGTGTGCAAGGGTTGCACGTCAATACTGTGATCTGTTAACATTTCTATGTCTGAAATTTCCGTATTTAGAGCTAAGTCTTCAACAGTTGCTTGACTACTCTTAGTTTGTGTATGCGATATTGTCTGGTGCTCTTGGTCATAAGGCAATACAACGAGGGAAGTATTAACTTCGGTTGTCTTATTGGGGTTGTCTTCATTCAGTTTACCTGCGCGGCAACGTCTTTGGCAAGAAGTTAAATCAGGTACAATCCTGATTTTGGTGTAGGGTGTTGAGGAGCTAAGAGTTTTGCCAGACTCCAAAAATTTCTTAGCTAGATCAACAGACTTAAATTTGAACAGTACAGGACATGGGTGGTTTGCGGATTTCTTACGAAGACGCAGAACCTGGCAGTCAGATACTGAAATGTTGCATGCCTGTAGACAGATTGCTTTAAGTTTGACAATAGGTACATTGTCTGGTATATTATATCCTAAAACATTGTATGAGGACATGACCCTTTTTACAGCCTCTGCAGTCAAAAAGTCTAGCAGGTGCTCAGATTTGAGGAGTGAATCTAAGGAAATCTCTTGTGATGGATCACAAAGTTGGAGGAAAGGAGTAATACTTTCAAACTTATCCTGCAGGTCTGTTATGGATTTCTGAAGGATCTTTAGATCACTAGTATTACTCGCTACGTTATCAGTTAGTTCTTTCGTGAAGTTTGGTACTAAAACTCTCGGTGTATCAATTGATCTTAGTGCAAATCCATCGTCAGGACTGATGTTTTTAGTGTCCTGCTGACTATTTGATGCTAGTCTCTTAACAGTACTAACTCGTTTAATAACTTTGACCATTATGCAGGTAAAGATTATAAAATTTTCTCAAAATTTGACAAAAGTGTGTGAAATACTGTTATATTATCTAAATAGATAAAAACAACAATAAACAGGTATGATGTACAAACAAAAATAGACCACTATCAAACGAGTTAACTCTGATAATTATAAACCACAAAACTGAGGACTTCTCTATAGTTCTTTTGTGACAGATTGCTCTTTATTAACACGAATCTCACTGGATCCAAACAGTATTCAGGAGGTGATAAATTTGGATATTTAGCTACCGGAGGGGCAAGCAATATCAGCTATAATTATGTAGTAGTCAAATATAGACCACGATATTCCAGAATGCGAAAAATTATTTCCACGTTATATGGTGAGATTGTAACGTCCTACACGTTTATCCCGGTACATATAGGGTCGTGGAAGCTAGGACTTCTCAAGCTTGGATGCTGTCAGCTTAGGAGTGACATGGTCACTGCCTGTAAGGTTACAAATGACTAGAGTCACTCATACAAAGCTACTCCGTCATTAAGTTATTATAAGCTTCCTCGTGGCATCCCACGAAGGATCCCGCATAAGAGAGAAGAGACTAAAGTGAACCCCATCTCTTTTTATTTCCTGTTTTCTGCCCCCATAACTCTTCAACACCAGTTGTGGTTACTCCGATTCCCTGGGAAAGCTTTAAGCGGAGGCCGGATAATCAGACGACAACACGTGGACTATGTCAAAATGGCTTATCGTCTTGAAACTCACGCAACGTACTGTATTGGTGGGTTCATCTAAACTCGTCCTTTACCACTGCCCATTTTTATCTGTCCCGATCTTCTGACCACTCTACCTATTCATTCACATGCTTTTTAATAACCGAATTTCACTAACTACCTATTTCTTGGTACGTTTTTCACTTCAGGTATACATAACCTACGCTAATTGTATCTATTATTAGTATCTCTTTTTTAACCTCGCCGGACGACTAATGGATGAGACGATTAAATTCATTCACAGCAGCAGCATAACACACCGCACATTGCATACCATACATGACCTGTCTCTGCACCACTCCCATAGGAGTCAGCCAGAGCTACACCAATAGAGTGGTAGGTTGAACTACATCGAAGCCCACCGAAGATCAGAAACCTTTATCCTAGAACCAAGAATTGAGCCTAAAGAAATCAATCTGTCTACAATAGCTCGTAAAAAGGAAATTGGATATTGAGTATTGGAGGCGAATATGTTGCGGTGCGTTATATTTGGACAGTTGCGCACTTTATCACCGTTATGCCGGGGCTGTTTATCCCGGTACATATCAAGTGATACTGCTGATGAGCAAGGAGGATTCACGCGATCCATATATTCAAAGCCACAGGTATTTATTCGATAAAACATGGGATCCAATTATACAGTACAAACATGTTGTCCGTGATGGGAAAGTTGTAAAAATATATACTGGTCTGATAAATGAAACACCTACCAACTTCTCAGACCAAATGCATACACATCTGCTGGAAGTTACGAGAAGAGAAACCCTGACAATACAAAGCCTTCATACTATTTTAATAGCTCGGATGATAGAACGCAACAGACGGAGACAGATGTAATTCTTTGATTTAATTACTTTCAGAATTTCTGACAAAGAAATAGAAAAATTAGGTATAGATATTGCTGTAGCGCATATGGTATGTCGTCTAGGGGGACGTGTCCAACTTGTTGGCCAAACTGAATGGATTCAGTCTTACTATGGGATACCTCCGATTTTACCAAATAAATATGATGATAAATTCCTGCTCCAAACAATTGATCTGTCAGGTACTAGTATTGTGTATGAAGGCTTGGAATTCTTACGTAAGTGAACGTTATTTGGATTCAACTATGTTTACTGTATCATTGTGTCCATTTTGTCTATTATGATTACTTTTCAAAATCTGATATTTAAAAGCTTCTCGGTCGATCAAGTGTGAACTCACTTACCTACCAGGGCTTTGATTTGTTATACAGTATTGCTAACACTTACGTCCTATATCGTTTTTTTACGAGCTAGTGTAAGCCAATTTGATTTCTTTGTGCCCGCTCCTTGGTTGTGAAGTAAATGTTCCTGATTTTCGGTAAACATCTGCGTAGCTCGTCCCACCACTCGACTGTTGTAGCTTTGGTTGACTCCGAAAGGAGTGGTGATGGGATTAATTAAATGTAGTTTGTAGTATGCGGTGTGTTAAGGCCGTGTTGCCATTGTGAATGGAGTTGATCCTTTCACCAGTTAGTCGTCGACAAAAGAAAAGAGATAATAATTATAGATATAATTAGTGTAGGTTATGCAGACTAGTAGAAAGAAAACGTAGAAACAGACAGCTTATGGAATTTGAAGTTGATATATATATATATTGGTAGCAATAAGTGTAAGGAATAGTAATAGTTGGAGTAGTCGGGAGAGTAAGACAAGAGAGCATGTGAAGTAAAACGATGAGTTCAGATGTCTACCCACTAATAAAGTATGAGATTTTAACGGGATAGGCCGCAATCCATGATTGTCCAGCCTTCGCTTAAAGCTGTCCACGGACGGTGCCGTAGTTACGTCTGCCGGTAAGGAGTTCCGGGGACGGCAAACTCGCAGTGAAAAGAAGTGGGAGCGGAATTGAGTCTTTGCCATTTGGTGAGCTATCCTTCGTGGATTCCCACAGGCAAGTCCATTTGTACTTAAGGGCAGAAAACCTTTGTTTGGGTGATTCTGGTCATTTGTAGTCCTATAAGCAGTAATCAAGTCCCACCTAAGCCGACGGTTGTTAAGTGTGAAGAGATCTAATTTCTTTAGCCGTTCATTATATGGTTCGTTAAAGAAATTAGTGATCATCCTTTGATGTGTGTACACGAAACAAGTCTTTCATACATTCACCCGCAAATGCCGAACTTTCTAGTGTTACAAGTGTTAATGAAACCTGCTTCCCTGGTTTCAATACAAATGATGTTCTAAAATGTCTCCAGTCTCTGAAACCTTCTTGTAGCCTAGGTCCAGATGGTTTGCCTAGTGTTATTCTTAAAAAGTGTGCAGATATCCTGTGTTATCCTCTCATGGACATATTTAATGAATCTTTTTCCAAAAATGTCGTGCCAGCCGTTTGGAAGGACAATAAAATTGTACCTATACCTAAGTCATCTACTGGAACATGTTTTAAATTTAGACCTATTGCTCTTGCCTCTCCTTTTCTAAAAACTATGGATAATTTACTCTTACTTAATCTTCAATCTTCACTTAAAGCCTTTAATGATCCCAAACACAGTAGAAGTACTTTAGATGCAGCTGCAGTCTTGCATCATAACATTGTCTCCAGTTTAGACAAAGGGGCTAAATTTGTTCGCTGCACCTTCCTAGATTACACATCTGCTTTCGACTCAGTACCTAGGGACATTTTGTTAACCAAGTTTGCTGAAACTCGGACTGACTGTTGGGTTGTCAAATGGCTGCATTCTTATTTCTCAGGAAGAAAGCAGTACACTGTATGTCAGAGGGAGTCGTCCACTTCATTATTGCTTACTGAGGCTGGTGTCTCTCAAGGCGCTGTCCTTTCTCCTTTTCTGTTTTCTTTCTCGTATGACTTCCCGACTCTGATGACGAAATGAACTTTGTCAAGTATGCCGACGATCTAACTATTCTAAAGTCCGTTAAATTCCCGCTAGACTGTACTAAGATGAACAGCTTTCTATCAGGAGTTAGCAAATGGTCTTCGTCTAACAACCTTAAATTAAATCCTTCCAAATGTCAGACTGTTAATTTCAGTTTCCGATCTAAAACAAAGTTAAATGGAGCTGTTGGTTCCTATGACTGTTGCAAAATTGATGATATTGGTATAGAAATCAAGTCTGAAGTTAACTATCTTGGATTAATTCTTTCTTCTAACCTATCATGGTCTTCACATGTCTTAGCGATTTCTAAAAGAATATTTCATCTGACTTTTTACATTGGGAAGTTAAGGCACTCAGGCATAACCCAACCCCTTCTTTCACAGTTTGTCAACTTGTGTATCTTACCTATTCTTCTTTACTGTTCACCCTTATTCTTTCCTGGATTGCTTATAAAAGACTATGTCATACTTCGTAGAACTCTGAAGACTGTCAGTATGGCGAGTGGTGGTATCCCATTGGGCCATATCGTTGACATTGTCATTGATAGTCACTTGATGTCATGCAACAAGCTTGCTCAAACCAACAGTCAAAGACTTCATGGACTGATGACAGGTTTTGATTTGACCACATCTAACTTTTTTCCAATCTAATCGTATTTTGGCTAACATTGACTGCCGAGGAAGGCGATGCACAACACGTGGTTTAGTCATCTCAATCGATATAGCTTCACAACTTCATCGATAAACTTTTCATTCTTAAGTAACACTTTACACCTAACCTCAGGATTAATCATCCTGTTATACCACCTAACACGAGAAATAAAACTCAGACACGTATGATCAAATACATCTAGCTTTTTCATGTCTTCCATTTTTCATTGACCATGTTTCAAAGTCATGCAGAAGGGTATAGTGAACTGCTATTCAGCCCCAACAGCAACGTTAAGAAATTGACACTGTTGTGATTAACATCCCAATGCAACAGTCCAAAGTTGAACTCTATCTAATTTTTGTCATTTCCTTAAGTAGCACTCTTCATATCTGTAGAATCACCACCATCTGCCTAGCAACATTTGAACCTAACTGAAGTACATACAAACTGAGATAAAGCTACAACAGCAACTCACTTGCTGAGTAGCATATAATGTACACATATTTATAAACTACCGGAAAGCCTGCTGCGAGTTTAGTAGGTAGACGTTCAGAATAACTGGGGACTGGCTAACTACAAGAATAATCAAATCAAAATATGAGTGTTATTTAAAGTCTATGTATTTGATAAAGCTTACACTGGACAAATTTTAGGTTTAGTTTATTATGAAATAATAGAGAAGATTTGTAGCTCAGGTGGATAATTTGGAATTAGTTGTGTTCTCTGAGCTGGTTGGTTGAATTGCAAAGCTTTCATCGTCCTTCTGGAAAAATCAGTGCAAGTTTTAGCATAAAATGAACTGGCAACCATCTTCCTGACTGGTAGTCGATTTACATCTGTATTGTTCAATTTTTATTGACTTGGAATTTGAACTTTCTTGTCACTTGACTTATCTTTTTATTAGTTGGTAAATTTGACAACAAACCAACCAAGAGCCGATCGCTCAACAAATATGTAAGGGAAAATGGAGATGGATCGGGCATAGATTGAGGAAACAGTCGAATGACAGCGCGCGCAATGCAGGCTATCACTCGAATGGAATCCCAACGGGAAGCGACGAGCGGGTGGTTGGTGTAAGGGTGAGATGGAGGAGATCGTGTGTCAAGTTAGGAGATGAGAGATTATGGTCAATCGTGCAGCTAGTCAGCTAGCTGAAGAGGATGGCAGAAAATAGAAGAAAGTGGAGATGTGTTGGTGAAGCCCTATTTTCCACTCGGAACTCAAGCGAATAATAATGATAACAATTATTGTAGATAGCTATTGTAAAAGCATATTTCCCATCAAAGAACTTCACATATTTGTTTTATAGTTGTGGTATTTTTATTTAAAACTTTTAAATTATAATTGTATCCGTGTTTAACGTATGATTTTTCTATTTATTTCTTTTACAGCTTGTTTAACCCATCTACAATATTTACGAATGAGAAGATGTGTATATCTTGATGATTTTTGTCTATCAAGAGTTGGACGGATCAAAGGATTACAATTTCTAGATGTTAGTGAGTGTCCTAGTCTGACTTCAAAAGGTCTAGCTACATTGGCACAATTAAAGTAAGTAGGTTAAAGAGACTTGTAATTCACCTATTATTATTATTATGATTATCGTCCCCTTGGATTCCCAGTGGTACATACAGAGGACTACAACAGCACATTTCCACTTTGTCCTCTTCAGCTTGCTGCCCACGATTACTCATAAGCCTTCATCTCCTCCATGTCAACGCCGGAGCCATACCCATATCGTCGTTTACCATTCGGGTTCCACTCGACCCCAATGGCATGGCGCGCGATGTCACTCGACGGTCTCCTCAACTAATGTCCGACCCATTTCGATTTCCTCCGGAATATTTGTTGGGCACTAGGTTCTTCGTTGGTTGGTTCACACTTTCTTGTTGCTAATTCTTTCTACCATGTGATCTTCAGTGTAGAGCCAGAGAAGGCAGCCGTTGGAAATGCTTTTCATGACGCGCACGCCAAGTTTCTGACCCGCATAGAAGAAGTGACTGACTTTGTTGTTTATGCTTAATGCAGCAGATTTCCAAACTGATTTCAGAGTGATTAGGGTTTGTCTTGACACCTTCATCCCGTGCACACTAGTGACTGACTAGAAAACGAATTCTAGTGAGAATTTGTGACCAGTTGGTTTCACGAAGCCGGGTGTAAGGACAAGTACTTAGCGAATAACATTGCCCGGCAGCAGCGCTATAAATCGCGAGATAACAGAAGTGAGAATTCATGGGCCTTTGGAGCCTAGTATCGTAACCTGTAAGTCCCGGAGTGCGTCCTGATGACGACTCCAAAACTACTAGATCGAATCAGTTGTCCAATACTCCCTTCCACTTTTCAATAGTTCTCTAACTGATGTCAATCCGTCATCTAATCTTAAAACCAATGGTTTATTCTTCTTATCCTACTGTTGTTGAGCGATCATTTAAGGAAATCACCAGTGGGAAGCAAACAAACATTGACCCTTCTTCATTTGATGCTGGTGTGCTTAATATGTTCTGCATATATCGTCCAGTAGATGTTATGATTTTTAGTGCTAAAAGTGTTAAAAATGATGCCCTCAAATGTCTCCCACTCCTTGAAACCTATCCAGTCCCTTGATTCAAATGGCCTACCCACTATAACCCTCAGGAAATGTGCAGACTTTTCATGTCATCCTCTCACTAGTATTTTCAATAGATCATTTTCCACTCATGTTGTGCGTGCTTCTTGGAAGGATATTAAAATTGTTCTTATGCCTAAATCACCAAGTGGACTATGAGTTAAGTTTAGACCTAATGGAATTAATTACCTTGCCATCTTTAAAAATAATGGAAAAACTGCTTTTATCTAGCCTTGAACCTTCATTGAAGGCTTTTAATGACCCTAAACAATTTTATATAACCATGGTAGGCGTACTTTGAGCGACACTGTCGTCTTTCATCAGTATTGTCTCCATTTTAGGCAGAGGTGCCAAATATGTTCGGTGTGCTTCCCTAGGTACAGAGTTTCGACTCTGTACCTAGGCCTCTTTTGTTAAACAAGCTTGCTGCGACACTAGCAGGGTGCTGGGGATTAATTAATGGTTGAATTCTTACTTTACTGATAGGAAGCAGTACACTTTAATATGATGGGAAGCCTTCCACTGATCTACTTACTCTAGCCGATGCTCCTCAACGTACTTTCCTTCCTCCTTTTCTATTTTCTCTCTTCTTACATAACTTGCCTTATTCTAACGGAGCTAATTTTGTTAAGTATGGCGATGGTCTGGCTGTTTCCGTTCCTATTACTTCTCGGTCAGACTGTTTCCAAATGAATAGTTTTTTCTTAGAAATTAGTCAGAGTGGTCCTTGTCAAATGGTCTCAAAGTTTAATCCTTCCAAATGTCAGGTGGTTAATTTCACTTTCAGACACAAGCGCGATTTACATGAATTGGTTCGTTGCCATGATTCTAGTATCATAGATGGCACTGAGGCTGAAACTGAGTCGAATACTAGATACCTTGGTTCTTTCCTGGTCTTCCCATGTCATGTTAGTTTCTGGAAAGATTTCTCTTTTAACGGTCTACGAAACGAAGTTAAGACAATCCAGTATCACTCAGTCTCTACTTTTACAGTCTGTCAATTCATGTAATCTACCTATTCTTCTTTATTTCTCCTCATTTATGTTCCCTGGGTTATTTAAGGGAGACTTTTACACTGTGAAGGGCACTAAAAGCTATCATTAGGGTGAGTGGGGCGTGTCACTAAACCAAGTTGTTATTACTGTTGTGGACAGATACTTGAACTCACCCATGCAAGGAATCGGTGAATGTCGTCTTGTCAGGCTCAGCATCCTCTCTATACACAACTCTCTCTCTTTTAGCATTTCATCAAGTGGGCCTAGAAGTAACTATAAAAGACTTTACGCTGGGAAGACTAAGCATGAAACTTTGGAATACCCTATTTGGTAGGCACACATTTTATGTGATGACAAAAATGTTGGGGATGACACCCGTAACTTACTGTGAAACATCCCTTTTATTCTTTCTTGTTTAGCAATGTTATCAAATTTAAGTGTCCTGTGAATCGGTTACAGGATTTCATCATGAGTTGACATCGATTAGAGAACCATTGGAAGACCTGGGTAGTCTTAGTTTGAGACTCTTCATCAGTACACATCCACCATCAGGGTTCGTACTCAGGACCTTCTGGTTACAAGGCGAGTTCGTATACCATTAAGCCATTAGAACTACCCGATCGAATGGTCAGTCCATGAATTCCAACTCTTACCAATTCACGACATAGCGTGACCACTAGCCATGGGCCATTGGATCGGGTCGCAGTAGTGGCTTAATGGTCTACAAGCTCGCCTTGTAATCAGAAGGTCCTGGGTTCGAACCCTGGCAGTGGGTGCCTATTGTTGAATAAGTGTCCCAAACTCGGATGGAACTGCTATCCAGTTCTCCTTGCCAGTTTTCTAATGATTCTCTAATCGATGTCAGTCAGCTCATGATGAAATCCTGTAACCAATCGAATCGAATTGAATCAAATCAAATCCCTACAAAGCAAAACTTAGGAATGTCCTGTTTTTTTCTTGTAAAGAGAAAATTAGATGCTACACATATTGTATATTACAACACTACTGAAAATTCTCTATTGTATCAGACGTACTGATTTGGAATATGAAACCCAATTGCTAATTAAGCAATTGAACATTTTGTGTTTACCATGTTGTTGTTTTTTTTTTTTATTGCTAACATTTTAGAGATTTACGTCGTTTAATCGTTAGCGGTAATCCACAAATTAAAGATAAAGAATTAGTCTGTCTACTACTTGAAGATGATTTACCAAAAGTGTACATAGATGGAGTAGATTATATCGGTCAATTGCCTAGTGAATCAAAAGAGAAAATTCTTCAATTAGTAGCAGGATCTACTACTACGACAACAACAACAGCAGTAGCAACAACAACCACCACAACAACAAGTGATGGTGATGAAGAGATGAGTGTTCATCAACTACCAGAGAAGATACAAGAAGGCGAAGAAGAGGAAGAAGAGAAGGTGAATGAAAAAAGGTATATTTAATTGACAAAGCATAGACGACATTGTACAATTAAAAAACACACAACAACAAGAACAAACCAACTATCCCCTACTCCTCTCCCTCCTTATTATTTCAAATGTAAATAATAACAATAATAGTAAAATAAAATAAATCAATTATCACAGAAAGTTGACTTGTTTTTCTCCACCTAGTTCTTCTCCTTTTGTTGTTGTAGTGGTGGTTTTTTCGTTTTTTTAAAAAAGAAATTATTTTGAATTGTCTATTTGTTCTATAAAAGTATCCAATTCATTTGTACAGTCTGTATTATTTACATTCCATAACTTTTTAACCTAAAAAACAAAGAAACAAACAAAAGAACAAAGAAAAATAAAGGTCAATGCTACCTTTGGATGATGATAATGATGGTAATAGTTGACAAAATTTTTGAAGTATACTGCTGCTGCTACTATTACTACTATAGCACTAAAAAACAATGGGAAGATCCACTTGATGGGTCAAGATTACCGAGAAATCCACACCCAAAGTCAAGTTGACGCGATTATACTAACCAGTTCGTTAGTTAGCTATACATGTTGTGGGGATTTCGAATTAATTTCATCATGAACACCAACATCAGTTAGACAGAGATCACTGAAAACCACCAGGGAGCTCTGGACAACTGTTTCGTCCTCATAGTGCGCACAAACCCAATAAGGATCTTCAGGTTGCACCAGCTTTTAGTGACAGAGAGAATAGAAGAAAGTGTCACCGTATTTTTCACTTGGAACCTAATGAAATAATAAATATAATTTAGTAGTGTCCAGTCTTAGGGGGAGAGTGACTTCCTACTTTCCCATATTTAACTCTGCTTGCAGCCTTATTATATATTAGTGTAAGTCATATCAACCAACCCATGTGGAATTTGACAACATCAACGAATCTAAGACAGCACTATCTTTATCGTTCATCATATCAGTCTCTAATTGGTTTAAAAACAGTATACTGACAACCAAGAGGTTACATGTTGGAACCTAGAGAGTTCTAGATACTGTGATTTAAGTAGTCGCATAATGTGATGTCACACACACACACACACACAATAGGCATAAAGTTTATGAGGTGATTTTATAGGCTTTCCTTTCACAATGAGTGGAAACTTCAGCCATATATATATATATATATATATATATATATATATATATATATAAAGGCGAACAAGCCTCTTTGTTAACCATGAAGTAGTGATTTACGCAGGTACTGATATGACAACCTGATTGGACGGTTTTTAATTCGTTTATTTATGGCTTCATTTTCTGAGGAATTGTGATGTCATACGACCAATCACATTCGTTTATTGATCTATGGTTTTTTAAACATAATATACTATGTATTTCGTCTAACAAACGTTGTTGCTGTTGTTGCAGTTGTCGTTTTTCACAGTCTGACTTCTGTGTCTAACTCGCATTGTGGGAGATGTATTCAAATAGGTCAGTTGCTTATAGTGTCGTGTTCTGGTGGCGCAGCATTCTAGTCAAATTAGACGATCCTACAACCCAGTAGTATTACTCCTTACATAACAAAGTGTGGCTCATAACCTGAAACATGAAAGACCTGTTCGACGGATTTACTCGAAGCAATTGAAAAACATCAATCCATCATGATAATATACAACATAGTGTATCGTTTTATAGCTTGGCTTCAGTTACCCGAATAGAGGAAGAGAGGGGGAGAGAGAGACAAGGTCAAAGAGATTAGTTCAACGCCAGCTGATGACATTTAACCTCACAGAGCCAATAAAATGTTTTAAAAAAGTATTCAGCAGTTTTCTTTTTTTTCTACTCACCTCATCACTATAAGCTTTAGCATCCAAGTATAATTGATGACGAATTTTATCATCTGACTGAAATCCATTTGCATTTTGTGTTTGTACACTTCCCCTTCGAACTTCTCTTAGTCTACGTAGACTATCTTCCATTTTCCTTACTGATGTAGACACTTCAGATAGCTGAATTGTATAGCTAAAATTAAGAGTATTTATAAATAATACATACACAAATTAAACAGCCATCACATGCATCACAAAGTGGTATGATTTACAGTCGTTTTTATTGAGAATTCCAGCGTCGGTGGTTTAGCAACAGCAGCAGTAGCAGAATGCTTGCCTACCCCACAAATGCGATCTGGGGTTCAATTGTCGGCCGATGACACACTTCTTTACCACTCTTAGCCAATAAAGAGGGCAGGTTGGGCGTCAGGCTAGCAATCCCACCACCTGGTAAAAACTCCACTGTTAAAGCAACTTTAAAGTTCACGTTTGAAGGCCTCTTCTCCACTCAGAACGCAAAGGAATAAAAAAAGTCATCTCTGGAAGCATTTATGATTTACTCAAGCTATGGAGAGAAAGCTTAACAACGGTCCATGGCACTGTTGATGCTTCATTGACAGTCCTTGTATGCCTGAGTTTGAGAAAGCCACTTTATGAGACTAGTGTTAGCTATTTCAGCGATAAGTCGAGAGTGTCAAACGGTGAAATGAAGGAGATCGCGTAAGGGGGAGATGAAATCTTATGGGAAGTCGTAGAGTCAACTGAAATGAACTGCAGAGTATAGAGTGTGAGATAGAGATGTCCTGTCGAAGACATTATGTTTCACTCGCACAACAAAAGGAATGATTAATAATAATAAGCACTAAAATGTAGTTAGAGGTTAGTAGTATAACCTCATTTGCACTCAATTATTTAGCAATAGTACATCTTAATTTGTGGTTGGTAGTGGCTAGCATCAGAATCCAGGATGCAACTTTCATCCTATTCCGGACTCGTCAGCTAAGTATGCCTAGTGACCACATTGCAAAGTCGACTGATAGAATTCAGTCTGCACCAACACATGACACTAGTTAATAACTAGTGTCCAGTCAAAGCATTCATTTCACCCCCCCCTAAAGGAGGTCAATTGCAAGCCTGAATAGCTCAGTGGTAACATCTCTGATCACAACTGGGTGACACGGGTTCAAAGCTCAGAAGGAACATGGGTTCCTTCAAAATTTCAGATGCGCTTTGCTGACTAGTGGGTGTCAAAACGCACGGCACCTAGGTCCAAAGCTTCCTGATGATTGCTTCCAACCGCCTGATACCTGAATATCCAGTGAATAATAGTGTTCCTCTTTTGAGATTCGAACCCAGGACGTCGTCGGATTATGTGTTGGGGTTAACACAGCAGCTGCCTCTTATGCAACACCTATCAGTTGTTATTCGTTTGGGCTTTTTGGTATTTCCCATTGATCAATGCATACATATATGTATACTTAGTAGCAGCTCATCGGCTTAATCAGTTAAATGTGTTCGAACTCCGTTTGATCTATTTTTTTAAAGGAGTGGTTAATTGGATGGAACTAGGAGGCCTCAGAAAGCTAAGTTATGAGAGTATAAAGTTAACAGAAGATTCCATTGGATTTAAGTGAGTTCTCACATAGAAAAACTGACATCGTTCGGTGACAACCTAATCCTAATTAAGAACCCCACACAATTCAGTAGGCTTGATGCACATTTACAAAAATAAATAAATCAATCACTCCCTTCCCTGGAAATCTATACTCTATTTGATGCAAACTATAGTCTTGTAAAATATGTCGGCAACGTAAATTAGAATAGGAGCACTGGACAGCTATTTCGTCCTGTTTTCAGGACTCCTCGTCAGCGCGCACACACACAACTCCGCCGACAAGGATCGAACCTGGAAACTTCATGTTACGTCACTAAGCTATTCATTGACTATAATCCAGCTACTTGGGCTGGAATTCAATGACGCATAGATTGTAACTGTGAATTCACGCTACCCACAACCAATGTCCTCGATGAGCGCATCCACTATACTTTGACATGGTGGACCCCAACTTTAGCAGCTCCAGGAAATCCATCCAGTAGCCAACAGTAAGTTGGTGATTGCTGCTGAGATGATTGTATTTGTGGGGTGGGAGGGTGCCTGTGGATTTGGATGAGTTACAGCTGTGTTAGATGCTTTTCACGAACCAACAACCACCAATTAAAAAATACAACAAGCAAAACTTACTCATTAGTAATTTTTGTGACACACTGTTGTAGTAATTTAGTTAAACATGCTTCAGTACTTGTTAGTGATTTGGATAAATTTGATGCTAAATCAGAAAATTTCTTTAAAGGATTCACTAAATTTGATACATAAGATGATGGAGTTGTTGCAAAATCTCGATTAGTCCACCGATACTGACGTGGTATATCTAATACTTGACGAATATGGACAGAACAGTTTTGCTGAAGAAAAAACAAAAGAAAGTTTTAATATATAATAATTTTTTTTAAAAAGTGAGAACACCATATAGTAAATAATAAATATATAATTATATTTCCTTAGGTGGTTACGAATGGAACATAGGGCTTCAACAGACCATCTTCCATTTCATCCTGTTCTCTCTGCAATCATCGTTAACTGACCCCACGATTGTTCATGTCCTCCTCATAAGTGATCTCCTCCATATCACCACTTTCGGAGTAATGCTCAAGTACTCGTCATTTTCTCTCCGACAACTTGATTGGTGCGCGATGTCACTCAACGGGATCTTCAGTATGTGTGTGTCCGATCCATTTCCTTCTGCGTATTTCTTGGGCAGTTTTTCTCAGAGTTCATTGTTTGTAATTCTTTCCGTTCGGTTACCTGAATGATATTCGGTATGGAGCTAGAGGAGGTAGCTGTTGATAAAAGTCTAAAGCCTTTTCGATAAGTTTTTTTGCGTGACACGCTTGTGACACAAGTCTCTGAACTGACTGACTTAACATTGGTGTTAAAATCCGGATCTCGCTGTTTTACGCTTAGTGCAGTAGATTTCCATACTGATTTAAGATTTATGAAGGTCTATCGCATCTTTCTGATCCTGACTGGCTTTGATATCTCGTCGTCTGGTCTGCAGTTGAAACGATACTGCCCAGATAAATAAGTGAAAGAAGTGATGTCGTGTAAATCTCTTCCGTTGATAGGGATTAGTGCTTGTTGTTGTCGGTTGCTGATTGGTTATAATCCTCAGCTCTATATTTTCTCTATGTTCTATTGAAGTCCTGTCTCTAATTGATTGTGTACACCGAACTAATTTTATTATCATATAAGGACAGAAAGAGAGAATGGGGGGAGGGTGCGTACATATATTACAATTTCAACTAGAATAAGCTACAAAGATATATCTGATAGTCGGTGAGTGGTCCAATGAGAGAATGTTTGCCAACCAAGCAGGAGGATTGGGGTTCAGTTCCTGACTGATAAAGTCTTAAACCTTACCATCTAGTTTACAGGCCAGTAGTAAGCTCACAGAAGAGAGAAGGTTGGGAATGAGGGCTAGCAAGACTACACCGTGGCAAGCGGTGGGGTGAACTGACTAAGTTCCAATATTGAAATTTACATAGAAGTGCAACAGTTTAAGCTGCTACATTCCATGTAGCATACAAAGGCAGAAAAACAGGGATCCAAAAGGACGATAATCAGAAAATCAAGGGAGAAAGAATAGTAACAAAAAAACTACAAGCAGCGAATGGTATTTGCGCTACTGAGAACGATTTTCAACTATACCTCCAATAGTCTCCAGCTATTGATTCTTAGAACCCCGACGAATCCAACCAGGAAGTTTACATCTACCTACGTGGCTGGTTTAAACTAACTGTTATGGATTCCATTGACTGATGAGGCTTTGGTTTGGTTTGACCACAACTAGTTCCTTTCCAACCTCATCGATCCTATGTCAGGTAACATTACTCGTCGAAGAAGGCAATGGCTCAGAATTCGTAACACGTGTCCTAGCCATCTCAATCAGTTCCTCTTCAGAAACTCATCGATTGACTGACCGCTCCATACCTAACACTCTACACGACTGACCTTAATATTATTTACCTCATTATAACCATCACCCACCATGGGAGATAGAACACAGACACCAATGATCAAAGAGACAACTAGCCTTTTCATATCTTCCAGTTTCAATGACCATATTCACACAGACATAAAGGACAGACAGGACTGCTGCGCGATACACACCTCCTCACATCGATAGCCGTATATCGCGTCTACGTCAAAGAGAGATGTGATTTGGCCTTTTCTATCCGTGCTAAGATATCGTCAGTAATCATTCCAATGGGGCCGATTTAACTTTCCAAATAAAGGAAGTTGTGAACATGCTCCACCACTTCACTCCCCCCTATCTCCGAGCTAGGATTCAGTGCTGCAACATCATCTTACATAATATAACAGGAGCAAATCGCATGCTAAACACCAGCAAGGTCCACCAAACCAGGTAAGAGGGAAAGTTATTCGTCGCTGGTGACATAAACTGGTCAGTTACGCTAGATGTATCGCGCGAATTGTCAGAAGTTGAAATTCATGAGCTACCACCACCATCACCTATTCGATCAGGTCTACTAGATCGCCTTGTAGGTGGAAACTGCCAGGGTTCGAACTCTGGCGGGGCATGGTTACTGTTGAATAAGAAATAAATAAATACACACAGATATTTTATAATCGTCTTACCTGAATTCTCTCTATGATAAGATTGTTTATTGGATCAATCGATGTAGTCAGACGTTCACATGATTGTTCTAAACATTCTGTCAGCATAGTTTTACAATTGACAATTTCATTTTCACTGCACAGTGGTGATGACGATGATGATGATTTTAAGCGGTGATTAAGACAGGTGAAAATTTTCTCTTTTAATTCTAAATGAATATAATCAATTAATCGATAGGAATCAACTAGTAAAAAGATTAATAGTTCAGGAGAACATTCATTAGATGATGATGATGGTTTTGTTTGTAGTAATGTAGACGAATTGATGGATGTATCAGGTGATGATAATTGAGAAGAAGTGGGGGTGGAATTCTAGAGAAGAGAAAAATAAAACAGTTTTTCATAATATCTCATTAATTTAAAAAAATGAAACAAATAAGTGAATTTCAATATGGATTTCTTTACACATCCAATTAGAGAAGCATTGAAAACTAGGGAGTGATAAGCCCGTCAAATGTAAGATGATGTCACAGGGCTGGACTGCATTGACTCCTAGCTTGAAGATTGGGTTGCTAGATCCCCTTCCCCGCCCCCAACACACACATACACTTTCAACCTTCTCTCTTTTCCAGGTTTCCTACCAGAAAGGTGAGGCTTGGAAGTGAATCGAACCAGGACCTGAAGGGCGATTGTTTTTCCAAAAAGGAGAAATTATAATAGTTGTATTATTATTATTCCACTGAGTTCCAAGTAGAACATAGGGCTTCAACAGAATATCTCCATCACACATTGTTCTCTGCAGTTGTCTTCATTTGGCTCCATACCTCCCCACAGGTTCTCATCTCCTCCATAACACCTTTGGATGCCCGACTGGCCGTTTCCCATTTAGGTTCTGTTGGATCTATCTTCATTTCCTTCAGTATATTTGTTGGGTAATAAGTTCTTGATTGCCTTTTTTATCTAGAATTCCTTGTTTCTAATCACTTCTGACTATCTGATCTTCAGTATGGAGCCAGTAAAGGCTGATGTTGATAAAAGCCTGAAGTAGCCTGTTGGAAATGCTTTTCGTCACACACCAATTTTCTGACCCATATGGAAGAAGTGACTTAGTATTGACTTTGAAAACCCGGATTCCGTTCTTTAATCTGAGCACAACAAATATCCACACTGATTTCACAGTGATGAAGGCCTGTCTTGCTTTTCCGATCCTGGATTCGACTTCTTCATCCGTGCTATCGCCTGTATAGTTGAAACGATGTCAACCGAATAAATAGAGAAGAAATTGTTTCCAAAGTATGTCAAAGTTATGTGCTCACAAAAAAATATGACGAATTACGGTTATATGAGGAATTCGGACCAGATTGCCGAACGAAACGTTGGAATTACTCATTTCAATCTCACTGAGATTTTACAAATGTCTACTTCTCACTCGGCGCCCAAATATTTTAGAACTATTCTGTCAAATCTTGACGACAGTTCATTTGAATTATTTTGCAATCGAATTAAATTAACAAAGAAACTGTGTAATTGGAACAATCATCGTGTTTTCACTCTCCGTTGTCTGCAACAGAATGCATATCCTAAATCCGTAGCTGTCGAGTCACCTGACAACTCCAGTAGGTCGAATAAAGCAGCTCAACCTTCAGAAAGAAGACAAATCAATAAGTCCGACAGGGTGCTTAAACTAAACTCTAATCCTAAACACCATAATTTTGAAAATACGTCTAATCATAAAATTCTAGATACTAACAGTTTGAACAGACATGAAGGCGTGATGTTAGTTGATGCATAGGAAATCCTTATTAATAAATAAAAAATGGATATGTATCACTAATTAATAATACTTGGTCAAAATTCCCGACTGTCTATATCTTCTTATGGAGACGTTAAGAAATGTTTTACAACTGTTTACCCACACACACATACACACTCTGTTTAAAGTGTTTAACAAAAGTAGACCAATATTTGTAAGTCTGAGGTCAAATTTTGATCACAGCTCATAAAATTTTGTTTTTTATACTTGTTGATACTTTGATAAAGCTATTAGCATTAAATAGCGAAACGTCAGTAAAAACAATATCGTTTTGTTTTTCATTCATTGGGAAATACAAAAACCTTGTTGATACTTGTTGAATGACTCATGATTGGACAGTTTTTAAAAACAAGTGATGTTCCTTTTTTATATATAAACCTCTGTTATGTTAATTTCGATTAATTTCCCTGAAGAAGTTCGGATCAGATTGCCGAACGAAACGTTGGAATTACTCATTTCAATCTCGCTGAGATTTTACAGATATAATTTTTTTACAAAAAGTTAATTTATGTTTATAAATTGTTTCAGTTTTATAACAGTCACTTTTTTAAATAAGTAGAAAATTTCTATTCCGTATATTTATCAATAAAACTACCGTGTTATAGCGCTACTTTTTACACTGATTAACCTTTAGAGTATAACCAATGTCATTTTTCTACACTATTTGTGTGTTGATGTTGACTAAATTTTATCAATCAAGTTTGCAAAATGGTTACCAAGCTGGGTGACTCACCATTGTTGAAGTACTTCGAACTGGTATCAGATTTTTATATTCCCCTATTATTATTATTATTCCCTTGAGTTCCGATTGAAGCATAGGGAGGGCTTCAACAACGTCTCCACTTTGTCCTATCTTCTGCCGTTCTCTTCAGCTTGGTCCACGATTGCCCACAATCTCTAATCTCCTCCTCCAATTCGCACGATCTCCTCCATGTCACCCTAGGATGACCCACTTGTCGCTTCCCATTGGGATTCCACTCGAGGGACGTCTGCAGCTCCCTGTTGGAAATCCTTTTTGTGACACGCTAGCCAAGTTTCTGACCCGTACAGAAGAACTGACTGACTTCACATTTTTGTTGAAAATCTGAATCTTCTTCTTTATGCTGACTGAGTTAGTGCAGAAGATTTCCAAACTGGTCTCAGGTTGATGAAGGCGTATTTCGCCTTTCCGATTCTGGCCTGCTTTAACATCTTCATCCATTCTGCCGGTAGTTGAAACGATGCTTCCTAGATAAGTGAAGGCAGGAAGTAACTTCTGTTAAATCTCTCGCTTTGATGGTGATTAGAGCTGGTTGTTGTTGTTGGTGGTGGTGCGTGGTTATCTTCATCACCTCCGTTTTCTCTATGTTCAGCTGAAATTTGTCCTGCATTCGCTGCCTGCCAGCTTCTTCAGCTAGTTTGTTGGTTTTCGCTTGTAAATCTTCGAGTTTATGTGCTATCAGACATATATAATCTATAAAATCCAGATCTTCTAGAGTCTTCTCAACGGTGGTCCAGCCCACTCCTGTCTCCTCGCTCCCCACAATCTGAAACACAATCCAGTCCACCACAATTAAGAATATCATCGGTGATAATTGACAACCCTCTCTTACTCATGTGTTCACTTCAAACGACTCGCTGAGTTTCCCGTTGTGGATTACCTGGTATCAGATGCTTAGACAAAATCTGCAAGAAAGCGTGGACTAAGTTTTCCCACCTGTTGAGAAGAGTCGTCAGTAAGGTCTATATATCTATAACCTTGAAAAAGATGATGATGATGTTCCCCTCGAAGAAACAATTCCGTATCACACTCAGTAAGTACATTACTTGCACGTTTGAAACGATAGGAGAGCTGGTTTCAAGTTTTGGTGTGAATATCATCACTCACCACCGGGGGGAGGGGGAATGAAATAGGACGAAACGAGAGCACTGAATTCCACTCTATTAGGCGACATCAATCGAAATAACAATTCAACTCACCACCTACCTACCTACCTCATTCGTAGATTTAATTTGTTCATCAATAAAACTTGAATAACGACTTATTATTTGTAGAGTTAATTTCCAAAATCTATGCATTAATTTATCCACATAGATTCCTTTCTGCCAACAACGATCAATTTGACTAATGACAGTTTCAGTTACATCAAGTAAACATGCTAGAAATATATCAAAAGAAAAAAAGAGAAATAAAGATAGAAAGTAGAGAAATCAAAGCAACATTATGTTACATTGTGATAAAATGCAGAATCTTCTGAACACACCTTGATGACAAGAAGTACTGATGTGTGGTAGGTGATTCACTCCCTTTGTCAAATACAAGTAAGATAATGCTGGAAGACTGGAGTGCACCGGCCACTACTAACTTGAGGATATGGAGCGAGTGAAGTGGTGGAGCATGTTCAAGACTTCATTTACTTATTTTGGAAGTTGCATCAACCACAATGGACTAATTCCTGAAGAAATTTCAGCACTGACACACAAAGAGCTCGTGTGGCATTGGCCAACTTACATCGTCTCTGGCATAGACGTGATATCTAGCTAGCTATCCACCACCAAGGGACATGTGTACTGCATATCAGTTTGCTTTGTCCTCCCCCTTTATGACTGTGAGATATGACCATTGAAAGTGAGAAAAAAGGCTAGCAGTTTTTGACCACAGATGTTTGCACTCTGCCATCTCATGTGGTAAGTGGTAATAATACGGTGAGTAGTATTGAGGTTAGGCGTACGCCTTTAGCCGAGGAGGATAAGTCGATCGATGAGCTTGTGAATGTGAAGTAATAGAGAGGGCTAGAAATTGTGTTACGTCTTTCTCTCTGGGCAATGTTAAGTTGGAAAAAAGAGTTAGAGGTAGTCAAACCGAGACCTGGAATCCGTCCATGAAGTCGCTGACAGTTGATTTGAGGCGTGTGTATGGAGGCGTAGAATGTTTGGTCGCCATCGTCCAGATGCTAGAAACCAATGACTGGAGACTATAAGAAATATGACTGAGTCGTTATCAATGGCGCAGATGCAATTCGAGTGACTATTATCAAGTTCTACAAACTTTCATCAACAGACGATAACCGATTAGAACGGATAACCAACAAGAAACTCTAGCAACGAACCAATAATCGTGAACCCTACTGTCTAAAAAATGTATGCCAAAAGAAAAGAAGATGGATCGCACACATGCTGAGGAGACCGTTGAGTGGCATCGCACGACAAGTCATCCATCGAATGGAAAACAAAAATTCGGGCGTGAGTATGACAGTGACATGGAGGAGATCGTGTGTGAGGTGGTGGAGATGAAAGCTTATGGGCAATCGTGAAGACAGCTAAAACAAAAGACTACACAGAACAGAGTGAAATGAAGATGAACCGTTGAAGACCTACTGTACTCTACTCGGAACCGAAGGGAATAATAATAGTAGTAATAATAATAGTTTCTGAAACTATTAGCAGGCGCGATATATAAAGCAAGTAAGATTTATCATATTTTTCAGAAAAGCAAGCAAATAAACTATAAAACTTACATTTTTCACTACTTTTTATTTCTTTTAAACCATTTTTCATAACATTTTCAACATTTGCAGCTATTTCCTGAAATCTTGAAAAAAAGAAAACCAGACACAATTCATGAATCATCAATCTATCATTTGTGTATATTTTAAAAGGAATTTCGAATAGAATACTCTATGGATAGATATTACGTCATAGCCATCATCATGCGAATTGAAATGTGAGCAAGTTAAAGAATTAAAAAAAAGCTTAAGAGGACTACATTTAATTTGAATTTTTTTTATTGTTTTACGTTCCCCAGTGGAACACAAAGGACTTCAAGCTAGAGGCTTGAAGTTTCGGTAGCAGTGGTGTTTACTTTTTACGAGATGAGGTTGCTAGCCCCTCATGCGCAATGAATATCAATTCATTATTTATTTATTCATTCATTCAACACAGTCATATTATACTGATAATGTCACACGTCAAGTGATCCACAACGGAAAAACTCAGCGAAGCGAAGCTGTTGAAATGAAGACAAGCGTAAGACGAGACTGCCTACTATCTACCGAAGATGACATTTCTGACTGTGATCGACAGGATCATAAAATTCACTGTGAATGAGAGCAAGAAGATAGGAATACGTTGAGCCGACAATAAGACTCTGGAAAATTCGTTTTTTTCAAACGACTTATGTGTAGCATCACACAAACTCAAAGATCTATAAGCGAAAATCACCAGGTTGGAATAAGAGGCTGGCTGACAGACAGGCAGGCAGAGAAGACAGGACTTTAAATGAACATAGAGAAGAAAAGAGGTGATGAAGAAGTCTAAGCAACAACAATAACAATAAGCACCAGTCACTATCAACGCGAGAGATTTAAAAGAAGTCACTTCTTTTACCTATATATAGGCAGCATCGTTTCAACTACAAGCAACAGTATGGATAAGAATATCAAAGCCAGCCAATATTTAAAAAAAGCAAGATAGACATTTGTTGTTCTGAAATCAAGAAATAATTACCCAGTAAATATGCGGAAGGAAATAGACGCTGGCTATGTTGTGGATAACCTGAAGGCGTCCAAAATAATCAACAGATAAAAGGAACCTTGCCTATTTCGTTTGGATTGGGCAATCGCCATCAAACGGCTAAAACTAAATCTATGTGCGCAGAAAGAGATAGTGGTGAATTTTACACTGCCTTGGTGATAACAAAGCATACAAATTTCACCACGTCATCTTCTATCCTGTTTAGGCAACTTGATTTTTCGTCTAAACATCCCATTCCCCTTTTTTGTCTATTTCATAAAAACGTGTTTTTCTGTGGTTACGTGACGTATTACTTTTTTTAAAATACTCTTCCTAGTTAAACTTTATTTCTAACCACAAATCATCTGTTGAACTCTGTCCTCTTGTTTCCAAGCTTAGTCATGCAATTCTTCTATAAGTGGTCGATCCTTTCCACTCTTAATTATTCAACAACTTACTACATCATTCCTGACCAATGTTATTTCTTAGTTCCAATCAATTACTCATTATCATTGTAAAGAAATTATAACCAGTTGAGAAGAATTCACGAAATAATCAAAATAAAAAAAACATGAGCTCAGATTATCCTGGTACATTTGTCGTTCTTGTTTTATTTAAATAGAGATGAATCGGACACACGCACTGAGGAGACCGTTGACTGACATCTAGCGCTAGGCTATCCTTCGAATGGGAAACCACAAGTTGGGCGTGTGTCTAAGAGTGACATAGAGGAGATTGTGTAAGGCGGTAGAGAGATGAGAGCCTATCGGAAATTGTGGAACCAGCCAAAAGACAACTTTAGAGAACAGAATAAAATAAAGATGTTCTGTTGAACCCCTATGTTCCACTTGGAACCCAAGGGAATAAATAACACATGTACACACATACATACATGCATACATAAATTAGTGTGAAGCCAATGATAAGAAACTAATTGAAAAGGAATGTATTTCTCCACTCAATTTATTGTTTTGCCTAAACTTTATTTAAACAACAGAAAATAAGGTGTATAAAAATTATCAGGTAAGTTAGTCAGTCAGTCAGTTAGTCAATCACTTTTCAAGGTTGTCTGAATTTTCTTTTTATAACCTCTCCTAGTTGTTTTTGATTGTCATAAAGCCGCTTCCTGTTATTTGTACAGTGAAATGATTATTTAGAAAAAAATACCATAATGATGTGAGAAACTTAAAAACGACGACAACAACAACAAGTATATAAGTTGTTAAGATTCTTATCTAAAAAATTTGGGTATTTCCTTAGTCAAGTGCGCAATTTTATTGTTTTACTGTTCTAAAATGTTTAAAAAATTATGTGCGGGTTATTTGAAATAGTGGTTACATCTTATGCAAGCAGAGCTTTGTTATTGTTTATGTTACCCTCCCTATAGGACCAATAAATCGATTTTAAAAATAAACCTACCCCCTTCATACTTATGAATTATCATTCCAAATCTAGAATAATTAATTAAATAAATGACATTCACAAATAGGGAATAGTAATGAAAATTAAATTGGTTAGTTTGGATATAAGCTTAGTTAGTCTGTCTTCTTTATACTAACAGTGTATATCAACAATCAATATGGCTTTGAAGGCAGTTAGAAAAGAATTGACTGTTGGTCCCAGAACTTACTCATCATAAGACAAAGCTACCCCGCGCCACCACCCCCATTGAGCGAAATTAGTTTAGGAATTCAATTATATGTCTTACGTCTTCACTGTCTTCCAATTCCAAACAGAAGAGGTAAACAAATTGGATCACCAATATCCTCTATCGTAGTAGATATCTTGGCGAAAATATGGCTCTTAATACATTTATTTAATCCTACTCCGAAAACATGGTGGGGACATATGTGGATGACTGACACTTTCATAGTGTTAAAAACAGAACATATCTCTTTCTAGCTTCTTGACACATATAAACTCACTCGTTAAAGGGAATAAAATTCACATTTGAATCAGAAAATGAACAAGGAGAATTAGCTGTGATGTTAGATTGTAAAATCAAACGAAGGGAAGAAGGTAAACAGCACACTGGCATCTATAAAAAACAACCCATTCTAATAGATTTTTTAAATTTTAATTCATCTCATCCGTTAACTGTTAAGGCAGGCCTAGTTAAGTGTGTCTAACAAACTGAGGAATATCCCTAAGTAGTACAACAAAAAAACTTAAACGATGAAATGAAACAGAATAGAAGAAGACTTGGAGTTAAATAACTATCTCAGAAAATTCATTAAAACGATCTCAAAAGCGCTCACAAGAAAAGTAAACATCAGTAGTGAAAGTATTAACGATAACATAAATAAGGATGAACTTAAGGCATCTACAGTTTTACTATATAAGGGAGGAGGACATCTGAAACCCTACCTACGTAGGTAGGATAAATATTAATAAGACAGGAATCAGTATCATTTAAACCAACAAACTCATTCAGGGACAAGATCAGTAGGCTAAAAGACCCCACTGACCTAGATAGACAAAATACTTTACAATGACTGTGAGGTCAACTAGATAGGTCAAACCAGTAGATCTCAGGTATTCAGATTATTGGAACATAAAAATTTAACTAAATGTAGAGTGGTTGACCCCATGAAGATGAGTAATTTAGAAAAAAAAGGACTCAGTGATTGCAATGCATGCGCATTAACACATACAACAGGGTGGGACAGTTACATTTCTAAAGAGTAATATAGGTAGGTGGAGAGAGCGGTTGATTACTGAATTTTTGTTCATCTAATCTAAAAAACCTAACACGCGAAAGAGGAATGACTTATAATCAATACCAGAGATATGGAAAATATTGCTATCAATGAAATTAGGGGATAAGAAGTAATGGAATTATACACACGAAGTTTGAAAATAGTTATGTGAGTGCCTTGGTATGATTATGAGCAATAAATTTTACTCGAAATGTCAACAGTAAATAATACTGTATCACTCACTCAATGTGTGGTTTTATCAAATAAATTTACTCTATGATGAAATTGTACTCCACCAAAGTGCCCAGAGCACTTCGAATAAACTACAGACTTTCATCAATAGCTGTCTTCGCTCAATACCATTCAAGATCAGATGGCCGACCAGAAAAGATCAGCAACAAGGATCTCTGGCAATGAACGAAACAACCCAGAAGGAACCAATTGTGCAACAAATATGCAGGAAGAAATAGAGGTGGATTGACAGGCCATATTCTCTGAGATAACAAACCACCATCAAGTGACATCACACGACAGGCCGTCGGTCGAGTGGGACCCAAATGGAAAGCAGCGAGTTGGTCGTCAGTGCGAGGGTGGGGTGGCATGAAGGAGATCATGAGAGGAGGAGATGAAAGCATGTGGGCAGACGTGGAGCCAGGTGAAAACGTTGGCAGAGAACCGAACGCAATGGAGACGTTTGGCTGAAGCCCTATGTTCCTCTAGGAACTAAAGGAAACAATAATAATAATACAGTGCCCAGAATTTATTCTTATATCAAGTTATGTATGCCCATTTCATCCTTCTGGACACATTTTATTAAGAAAAAAAGTATCTAAAAAGCAGTCTCCAGCGTATTGATGGTTACCAGATGGATGTTCTGAGGCTGTAGCGAAAACTCGTGACCAACAGGGTCCCCATGTCAGGATGAAGTGGATTCTCATAGAAGGCATAGGCGTCTGGCAGTGGTAATATATCACGAATTGAGAGAAATTAGAATGTTTAGTATACTCTCTGGTTTTCAATAGCTTTCTAACTGACATCAATCCGTAGGCGAACTTGAAACAAATCGAATCTCTATAACCTATAACTCTTGAAAAAATATTCGATAAAACAAAAAAAACATGCCTCACAGTTTTTAAAGACTATTTCTTACCTTATTTGAAAGTAAACAGGTAAACTCCATTTATTGATGAACATGGAATATGATGCATGATTACGCAATGCATTAAGTTGTTTATGCGACCAAGTTTTAGCTTCTACTGATTCAACAAAATGCATACTTACAGAATACAACTAAAATTGAATACACAAAGACAAAAAATAACGCAAAAATAAAACTACTACTATTAAAATCAAATAAATTCCTTGAATCAGTCATAAAAAAAGGAAAACGATAGATACACACAACGAAGCAATAGTTTTTGTTTTTTGAAAATTTTTTATTCCTTTGCATTCGGAGTGGAATATAGAACTTCAAGCTTCAGCTCTGAAATTTCACCAGCTGTGATTTTATTTTTACGCGGTGGGGGGTCACTAGCCTCACGCTCAACTTTCTTTCTTTACCAGGCGGCTTACCACAGGCCAAGAGAGGTTTAAGAGTGCGTCGTCAGCCGGGGATCGAACCCCAGACCACGTGGATGGTTGACAAGCACTCTTCTGCTGCACTACCAACGTCCAGAATGCTCGTCGCTACCTTGAGGATAGAAACAAAGCGAATGGGACTATCAGGATATTCGTTTTGACGGTACATTTACTAAAACTAGAAGGATATATATATATATATATACATATATATATATATATACATATGGTCAAGGGCGTGTCTGGTGATGACACTGTTTAAAGCATTTGTTCCCTTGAGACATTAGCTTTCTAGTACATGTTCAGAAACTCGTAGGTATGTCCTTCTTTCTGTTCTTCCAATGTAACTGCTCCCACAGATACATGTAAATTTGTATATACTGTTGAAGCTAACATGATAAAGATATCTGTCGATTTTTGGTTGCATCAAAGAGCATGTTGCTTGATAGACGGGAACCACCTTACCTACAGGATAGGCTGTGCCTGGTGAAGTCCTCCATCTTCTGTTGACAATCGCTGTAGTATTTTCACCTTTACAATCAAGCTGAATGTAGATGGGCTTTTTTCCCTCTGTGATTTGCTTGACATTTGAGCCTTCACATCTTCCGTACTTGTTAATGAACCTCTGATGGTCACCGTTGCTTTACAACATCTTTTCAAGAAACGTAAATTCTTCCTCTAATTTCTCTGTAGAGCATAATCTTCTAGCTCTGTAGTATAGAGTCTTGACTAGTCCTCGTTTAAAGCTACTTGGACAGAAACTATTAAAATGTACGTATTGTCCTTTCCATGTAGGCTTACAGTAAATTGACTTCTGGAGACTACCATGTTATAGGCATTGCATGGCAATTTCGAGGAAGTGGAACTTTCCATCATTTTCATGTTTCATAGTAAATTCAATATTGGTATTTGCGTCAATGGCCAGCGTTCTATGTAATAGAGATAGTGTTAAGCATGGAACCTACGACTTCCTACGTTATTAGCAAAATAATTGTCTCTTCTATCCTCACCTACTTCTATAGTCTATGCAGACACTGATAATTTTAGCTATTAACGTTATCATTATTTTACACTTTTTGTGCATATTTGACTTCATTGTCACAGCTAGTACCAAAAAGCTGCTGTTATCAATCCTGTAATATTATTTTTTTTTAATTTTTGTTTTTTCTATTGTCGAGTAAATTAGATACAATATTGTTTTATACTGTGTACCTTAAGCTGCTGTTTTGGAATAAAGCAATTATTATTAAAGGCGAGAGGTAGTCTGGGATAGAGTTCGACACTAGAAATTTTTCAGTGTGTAAGTGTAACTCGATAATTTCCATTTGTTGTTGTTCAAGGAATCTGTTCAACTTCGATGAATTTAGTTAGCATAGTCATCATCGCTGTTGTTATATCTTCTTTAAATTGTTTACATGATAATCAATCTCTTGATATTTGTAAGACCACAGTGATCAATACGGACCAAAAGAGAGAGAGAGAGAGAGCCCACAATGAGAGACAGAGATGCCAACCTAAACAAAACAACAACAACAAAATGCAGGAGAATACACTTACTGAATAAAATCTGTCTGGATGACCAGGAGAAAATATTTCTGGTAAATTTTCACAAATTAAATCAATTGTTTCTGGCCAAAATCCTTCGACTAAACAGTCGAAATCACAAAGAGGTTCAGAACTATAATTGAAAATAATAATAACAATAACATTGATGACAAGAAGCACGTAGATAAGAGACCACTTTCTTTAAAAATAAACAAAATAATTTTCAAGTATTACTTTACTAGAATTTAAAAATTATCCTGATGCACACTAGCAACAAGCTCAATACAGGAAGCTAACCGGAGTTCTAGTGAGAAGTTGTGACCAGAGGGATTTACCAAGTTAAGTAAGAGAACAGTTACTTGCTGATGACATGGGGCTGACAATTGCACTATTACGTATCGCGAATTGTTAGAAGCTGGAGTTCATGTCTGAATGTTCGTCTGCAAGTTCGCCTTGTGTCCGGAATGTTCTGAATTCGAACTCTGACTGTGGGTTTGTGCCAGCGAAGAGTCCGAAACTAGGACGAAACATTTATCCAATACTCTATGGTTCTCCAATGATTCTCTATCCAATGTCAGCTTGTGATCAAACCTACAGATATAATAGACATTTTCAACTTGGTTATTTGTTACTTATCATGCATTTCCTTTGAGATTGCAGATATGTCTGCCTGACGACTGCGCCTCCAGTCATTTTATGTCAGACGATCACTGGGTAAATGTGCAACTTAGATTTCTGCAGACATTAAAATGACTTTTTTTACTCCTTTGCCTTCCGAGTAGAACATAGGGTTTCATGCTTCAACTTTCATGTTTTAGCAGCAGCGATATTATTCCCCCTTACGCGTGAAGTTGCTAGTCTTACGCCCAACCTCCCCTCTTTACTGGCCCCACTATTGGCTAAGTGAGGTCCGGGAGTGAGTCGGTCGTAGACTGAACCCAGACCACCTTCGGGGTCGGGGTGAGCATTCCACTGCCAAGCCACCGACGCAAAGAGGGTATTTTTTTGCATAAGTATTTTACCATCAATACACTGAATTTCAGATATCTATGGTAAGTACATTTGTTATTATGGTCTTTATAAATCACTCACTCACTCACTCACTCACTCACTCACTCACTCACTCACTCACTCACTCACTCACTCACTCACTCACTCACTCACTCACTCACTCACTCACTCACTCACTCACTCACTCACTCACTCACTCACTCACTCACTCACTCACTCACTCACTCACTCACTCACTCACTCACTCACTCACTCACTCACTCACTCACTCACTCACTCACTCACTCACTCACTCACTCACTCACTCACTCACTCACTCACTCACTCACTCACTCACTCACTCACTCACTCACTCACTCACTCACTCACTCACTCACTCACTCACTCACTCACTCACTCACTCACTCACTCACTCACTCACTCACTCACTCACTCACTCACTCACTCACTCACTCACTCACTCACTCACTCACTCACTCACTCACTCACTCACTTACTCACTTACTCACTTACTCACTTACTCACTCACTCACTCACACATACGGCTAGTATTAAAAATATCTCTAATGATTATTTTCAGAGTTACTTCATGAATCCAGACGAGAGATAAAAAAGAGTTTATGCATTTAAATTTTATATCTCAATGTGTAAAAAGAAAATGTACTACCAAAAGGAAAGGAGTTAGGTAAGTGAAGTGATTGTGTTGTATAAACCTACACAAGTATTTACATTGTATGTCTTGAATTTAAACTATTAAATAAGAAACTACTATGAATAACAATTAGACACAACAACAAAAAAAGGCAAATGCAACCTATGGAGAAAAATATGTTGATATGAAATACCTAATCATAATGTTAGTCTACATTTATATATTCAATAGTTTAATCAAGTCTACTGTATGCGATATTAGTAAAAAGCTTTATCACACAAATAAAATACAAAATCACACTATGAATTTTCTTGAGGAGATTTAGATTACTTTCAATGCAGGCAGATTTCATCATAAACCAAACAAAAAAAAACAATAACAATCAAGACAGGTGTTTCACTCCATTTTGGGGCTCTTCAGAAACGAGTACCAAAAGGTCTTACTTAATAGAGGCCCTTACTGACTGACTGACTTTCAACCTAGGACATTTTTCCCAGAAATGCAGAATCAGTTGAAGTTGCCACACACTCCATATAGTATACAAAGGTAGGCAAAATATAGGAAAGAGGTTCAAAAGGATTAATATGAATATGTGAAACAGTGGTAACATGGGAAAAAACATGAGGGATCACAACGAGTGAATCAAATTTTTGCCATTGATAGTGATTTTGAGTCACATCACTTAATAGATTCTAGCCTTTGGTTCTTAGCATCTTAAGGAGGAGGACACCAGCTAGCCAGTCTACGCTGAAACCACTTATCAAACACTACATAGTTTGGTGACAGGTTTGATCAACTCTAAATCTTTCAGTCTAATTCTATGGTGGTCAATACTGGTCATCGAGAAAAGCGATGATAGCTAGTCATGCACAACACATGCCCTAGTCATCTCAATCGATTCACTCTCACAACCTCGTCGATTGATTTCCCCTCATACCTACCTAGCACTCGATAGAAGTATAAGTTCAATATTGTTCACCTTATTATTATTGTTTCCTTAAATTCCTAGAGGAACATAGGGCTTCAACCGTGCGTCTACAGTGCGTTCGGTTCTCTGCCAAGGTTTTCACCTAGCTCCATGTCTGCCCACATGCTTTCATCCCCTCTTCACATGACGTCCTCCAAGTCACCTTTGGACAACCAACTCAACTAAATCATACGAGCGGAACACGCTTCTTTCTGTTCGAAAGTGGGAAGACTTCGCCAAACGGCAAGGATCCACCAGAGAACAACTATTTTTTCTCCATGAGTGCCTTCGTCATCAAATTCTACCAACCAGCGTGAGATATAAGCCACCAATCAACTGCCCAATGGGATGGAAATTAGCTGAACAATGTGGAAGAAAAATGGTTAAACTAATGATTACAGATGCACATTATAGAATCAAGAAATATCAACAAATAATGGACTTTGAAAAAGAGAAACTAGAGAAAATCCTCAGCCAAGAACACCTTTCAACAATGATCACCGCAATCGCACTGACAAGTAGTAGACACAGAGAACGTAGACGAAAAGTTCTCAGAACCAAGCTAACCAAAATAAAAAAACAACAGCCGAACAATACACCAATTGATTGCGTAGTCAATTTATCAAAACAGCCGCTGTCAAAAATGGAACAACAACTACTTCAAAAAGGATTAAACTACAACACTGAAGACGCCTCGAAAACAGACTTCTTCGCTGCTCTTGAATCAACACTCAAATCATCAAAATTAAGTGAAGAAACACAAGAAGAGATGCGTCTGTCTGTCTGGATTCAACATAGAACTTGGCACCGAAGTGCAGCAGTTCGAGTTGCCACGTTCCAAATAGCACACAAAGGTAGACAAGAAAATGAGCGATGAAGAGAATCAATAGAGTTTTGACAAGTATAAGAGTGAAACAGAATGAGTAATGGTAGAAAGGAGTATGAAGGTTAAAGAGACTGAATACATCTGCGCCATTGACAACGATTTTGAGCCATGTCACCTATTGTCTCCAGCCATTGATTCTTAGAGTCCCGAGGGCGGGCCCCAACCCGGAAGTCTGCATCTCCCTCCCTACCTGACTCAGTTTAACTGTCAGGGATTTCATGGATTGATGCCATGTTTTTGTTTGGCCACCACTTACTCTTTTCCAACCTGCACCTATATCAGCTAGTAATGCCCGTCGGGGGAGACGATGGTTAGGCATGCGCAGCACGTGGCCTAACCATCTCAATCTATGTAACTTTATAGCCTCTTCGAGTGATTTTCCCTCTTTGCCCAACACTCTACGCCTAACGTCAACATTACTTACCTTATTATACCACCTAACGCGAGAAAGAGATCGTAAACATCTGTGGTCAAAAACAGACAATCTCTTCATGTCTTCCGCAAACAATAGTGCCTATAGTTAAACAAAGAAAACGACACACACAACTCAACTCACAAGAACAAAAAGCCCTCAAAAGACTGAAAAACAGGAAAGATATCGTTATAGTACCAGCTGACAAAGGAAGGACTACAGTAATCATGGACAAAGAAGAATACACTGCAAAAGCGGAAGAACTACTCAAAGATCAAACAATTTACCAACAACTAACAACAAACCCCATCGAAACACTAAACAACCGCATCCAAAGAACCCTAAGCAAACTCACCAAAACGGGTCAGATCACAAAAGAAGATCAATGGCGAATGAAATCCAATGGACCCGTCATACCTCGATTCTACGGCAGACCAAAAATACACAAGCCAAATATACCTCTACGACCAATCGTATCACTCCCAGGAACCCCAACATACAATTTATCGAAAGAACTATACAGAAGACTGAAACACTTGACGAAATCATTTGATCACTCCATCCAATCTGCGACCCAATTTTTAGAGAAAATCAAAGGCATTGAAATAGACAGCCAAGAAATAATGGTATCCTTCGACGTCACGGCATTATATACTTCGATTGGACTAAAACTAGCAAAAGAAACCATGGAACAACTACTCAACAACGACGAACACATACAACAATCAAAAATGCAGCATTCAAGTTGGATGGAATGCATAAACTTGTGTCTCACAACTTAGTTCCAATTCAACGGCCAAATGTATGAACAAATTCAAGGGACACCTATGGGATCACCCATATCAGGATTGATTGCGGAAGCCGTCATGCAAAGACTGGAAAACATAATTCTGCCCAAGATCAAACCGAAAATTTGGATACGCTACATAGATGATACATTCGTGATAATCAAAAGAGAAAACTTAGACAATACCCACAACATAATAAACAACACCTTCAACGACATCAAATTCAGAAGAGAAGAAGAATATGAAAACAAAATCCCATTTTTAGACGTCTTAATCAAACGAACAACAACAGGAAAATTAGAAACCCAAGTATACAGAAAACCAACGCACACGGATCAAATACTCAATTACAACAGTAACAACCCAACATCACACAAAATTAGCTGCATACGTACATTGTTCAAGAGAGCCAGGACTCATTGCAGCACTCCCGCCTTGAGGAAAATTGAAGAAAATCATCTTATGGACGTCTTCCAAAGAAATGGATACCCACGAAACTTCATCAAAAGACATCTACCCCCAGCTCAACCAACCAAATCAAAGGCCACCAGCGGAAACACAAAGAAAGTCGTCCTACCATATATAAAAGATATCTCCGACATCACTGCAAGACTATTCAAACCTTTTGGAATCGATGTCGCTCATAAACCAACAAAGTCACTACACTCAGTTCTATGTAAACCAAAGGACTCAACGGCAAAAGAAGACAAAACTAACGTCATCTACAAGATAAGTTGCAACGACTGCGACAAACATTGCATTGGTCAAAGTGGACGCCCTCTTCGTCTTCGTATTCACGAACACAAACTAGCTGTCAAAAGACACGACATACACTCCCTCATATCACTACATGCAGACAACCACGGGCACCAATTCGACTGGGACAATGTTCAAATCTTAGACGAAGGGAACTGCAAAAATGCCAGAGAATTCCTAGAGGCCTGGTATTCAAATGAATCAGCAATCAATAGACACATAGAGATTGACAAAATATACCAATCCATACGAAGAAATTCACACAAAAACAAAGTCAAACTTCAGGTTAAGGAAACAGTCAACACCAAAACAAGTGAACTAGAAAGTGAGAAGTCACACAAAAACAACCAATCACGTTCAAGGTTAGCAGAAGGAATGACTAACGACATTCAGACCAAAGAAGCAGCCAGCACCGAGACAAGCAAACTAGGGGGTGAAATCTCACACGAAAACAACCAATCACGTTCAGGGTTACTAGGAGAGATGACTAATAAACTCATAGAGAATTCTAAAAGCTCACTTCACATCGAAGTATGCGCTGAAGATGTTGCTCAGTAGAGCAATGAAAGCTTCGCAACCAAACCATCGAGCTCAGAGAACACAACCACACCAAAATCACCGCTTCCCTTTCGGGTTCCACTCGAGAGCCTGTCCAGTGGTGTCACTTAATGGTTTTCTCAAAGTATGCCCAATCCACTTCCATTTCTTCCTGACTATTTGTTTCACAATCGGTTCCTGGTTGGTTCGCTCATTGCCAGAGATCTCTGTTGCTGATCTTTTCTGGCCATCTGATCTTGAGTGTTGAGCGAAGACAACTGTTAATGAAGGTCTGTAGTTTGTTTGAGATGCTCTTTATGACGCGCAGTGCAAGTCACTGATCCGTATAGTAGCACTGACTTCACATTGGAGTTGAAATCCGGATCTTATTTTTGATGCTGAGTGCTGTTGACCTCCACACAAACTTAAGAGTAGTGAAAGCTTGTCTTGCTTTCCCGATTCTTGCTTTGATATCCTCGTCAGTTCTGTCCGCCCGTAGTTGAAACGATGCTTCCCAGATAGGTAGAGCAGGTTGTTTCGTTCAGGTTCCTTCCATTTATGCTGATCACCTTATTATACCATCATCCAACATGGGAGATAGAACGCGGACACCTAAGATCAAAGACAGCTAGCCATCCTTTTCGTATCTCCCACTCTCAATGGCCATGTCTCAATGACAGCAATAAAGGAGAACAGAGCGAACTGATGTGCGGTAAACACAGGGGATATCATATCTACATCAGAGATGACGTAGCTTGGCCGATGCCACATGAACCTTCCATATATCTGTGGTAAGATTTCATCAATAATCAGTCCATTAAGGCAGATGCAACTTCCCAAATAAGTGAAGTGGTCAACACGCTCAGCCACCACTTCACTCCCTATTTCTAATCTAGGAGTGAATGTAGTCCAGTCCAGTCCAGTCCTGTAGCATCATCTTACACTTGACAAAGGGAGCAAATCACATGCCAAACATTCGAAGATTGCTGCTCGTCAAGGTGTTCAGAAGACTCTGCTCTATTTTATCAGCGTCTTCACCTAGAAGAACTAAATCATCTACATATTCTAAGTCAACAAGTCAATCCCTAAATCATTGAAGTCAGTTAGAGTCAATTCCATTAGTACATCTATGGTGAAATTAAACAGAAATTGGGACAGTGGACATTCCTGACGCATACCACTAGTTGTCAATCACTTCATATGACAATTCTTCCTATACCACGGACCTTCAGAGGTTATGAGGTCAGCTTCAGCTTGACTATTCTCAGCTACTGGATTGGAATTCAATAACTTCTGTCAATACGTGATTTAATGCTACCATCAAACAACTAGTCATGGTCAGTCGGATCCATCATATCAAGAATGGAAAGGATGCTTATGGATGTTAGCTTCTGACGAGATCTACATTGAGAATAGAAACTAGTTTTTGAGACATTCCTTTGTATTCCAAGTGGAGCATAGAGTTTCAAGCTTGAACTCTGGAGTTTCAGTAGGGGTAGAGTTGTTAGCCCCCCACCTCCCAGCTTATCGATTTAAAGCGATTTGATTAGATATTAGAATAGTTTCCGTTAATGCATAAACACTTTGTATCCTTTATAGCCTAGTAACTAGGCTGTATTACTGATGGTATGAGATTCCAACTACTAGCGTTTTTGGCTTGTGGGTTCAATCTTGCTTATTGATTGATTAGCTTCTAAGAATCAACTTCTAACTCTAAATTTTTATTCATTATACAGGACCTCAATGGTAATACACGATTTATAATCCATTATGGAGTTTTTCTTCTTGAGTAAAAATGAGATTTTAATTGATGTCAAAGTCAGAATCGGAAAGACAAGATACGCCTTCATCAACCTGAAACCAGTTTGGAAATCTTCTGCACTCATCAGCATAAACAATACGATTCGGATTTTCAACACCAATGTCGAATCGGTCTTTCTATACAGGTCAGAAACTTGGTCAGCATGTCACGAGAAGGTTTTCCAAAAGGTTGCAGACTTTCATCAACAGCTGACAACTTCGCTGGCTTCATCCTGAAAATCAAATGGCTGGCCAGAAAGAATTAGTTACAAGAACCTCTGGTTGGAAAAAAACCAACCAAGAGCCGATTACTCAACAAATATGTAGGAGAAAATGGAGATGAGTCAGGCATACGTTGAGTAGGCCGTCAAATGACAATGCGTGCCAGACCGTCGGATGGGACCCCAACGAGAAGTGATGAGTGGGTCATTGGTGCTAGAGTGACATGGAGGAGATCGTGTGAAGAAGAGGTGGGTGAGGGATACAGAGGGCTAGTTTCGCATATGCCAGTTTACGCCGTCTCTGGCGCAGACGTGATATCCGACTATCGAGCAAAAGGCGTGTGTACTGCTAATCAGTCCGCTCCGTCCTCCTTTATGGCTCTGAGACCTTGCCATTGAGAGTAGAAGACATGAAAAGATTAGCTGTCTTCGATCATAGGTGTCTGCGTTCTATCTCCCGTGTGAAGTGGCATAATACGGTGAGCAATATTGAGGTTAGGTCTCGGTCGAGTTATAGGTAAGGCGGGGAAATCAGTCGACGAGACTGTGAAATTACATCGACTGAGATGGTTAGGACATGTGTTACGTATGCCTAGTCACCGCCTTCCTCGACAACAGGCGATGTTAGCTGACATAGGGTCAGGCTGGAAAAGAGCTAGCGGCGGTAAAACCAAAACGTGGCACCAGTCAATGAAATGCACAACAGTTAGTCTAAACCACGTAGGAAGGTGTAGACTTCCTGGTTGGGGTTCTCGGGACGGTAAAAACCAATGGTTGGAAACAATTGGTGACATGGCTCAAAATCGTTCTCAGTGGCGCAGATGCATCCACTCCTTGTGACTTATGATTTCCAATGAAACTGTTTTGTTCTTCGTTATTACTATTCCTTTGTCTCACACCTCTGTTTACTGTCTCTAATATGCATTTCTCCTACTTTCTTCTGTTGCTTTGTGTGCTACATGAAGTGTGGCGACTTGAACTGCTGCACATCGGTGCAAAGTTCTATGACGAAAACAGACAGACAGACAGGGGCTCTCTAAAAAGTGAACATCTATAACCCCACTGGGTATCGAACTCGGGACGAAAGATATACAACTTTTAACTAGGAAATAATAATAATAATAAATCTTGAGAAGAAAATTAACCAATACAACCGATTGCCTACCTTTCTACTGAACATCTGATAATATGTTCTTTAACAAGACAAAGTTGTGAATCAAGAATCTCCAGAGCATTCGTATACATTGTATTCAATGTGTCAACAGCCAACTGGATATCAGAACCTGCATGAGTTAGTTCAGGTCGAGGGATGAAGATCTGTTATTGTTGTGTTTTTTATATTAGTTTTTGAAAAAGAAAGAACAAACAAAAACTGTTTAAAATTTCTACATTTTCTCAATCAAATAGGTGCGTGCCCAACAGTTGTCTACATTTTTTAGTTAGCTAATTTATACTCTTGGATTCTGAGTCGAAGGAGACGCCCAGTTTGACCACACACACACTATAGGTATGTGCGTTTATCACGAATCATGCCAGTGATTTTGCAGATCGTATTCATCTCGTCTTCATTTGCTGTTAGGTGGGTCTTCTGATCTGCATAGTAGTATTTGAAAGAAATCATTGTGTGTCGGTTTGTGCACGATATCTATGCCGAAGGGTTTTAGTGTACTAGCTCTTATTTTAAAAACGTTCTTTACAAATAGCAAGGATGATTTTTCTTGTGATTAATGAAGGCGATTGGTTTGTTGCTGGTATAGTTCGATTCGTGTTAACAGGATATCCGTTTTTGTTAAAGGCACTTATTAAATATGTCTGCTTTATTCTCCTTAGGACTGGAGTGTACCAAATAGCAAAAAAGTCATATTCCAAGTCAATAAAAATGATCAATAGAGAGATGTAAATTAACAATCAATCATGAGAAAGGTTATGTCTGCCCCTGCTAATTATTATAACGGTAGTGAATTCGACTGGTACCCTAATACGTTCGAATCTCAAAAGTGACATGAGTTCCTTCAATGTTGCAGATACGCCTTGCTGACTGGTGAGTGCCAACTAGCACGAAACCAAGGTTGAAGGCTTCCTGTGGCCGATCGCCTCCAACCGTCTAACACCATCAAATCAATGTGCACCGTGATGAGGAGCTATCTAGAATAGTGGCCACATTGCAAACCTGATTGATAGAATTCAGTCTGCACCAAAGAAGGGATTAGACACATCACACTAGTTACTAGTGTCCAATCAAAGTATCCTAATACGTCTCTTTGTCCGTTGTACCTTCGACCTTACTGAGCCACGCAAATATCAAAAGACAAAGGCTAGTCTGTGGCTGTCAGACACTGTATTATGCATTTTAGGAAACAACATATGATATTTATACATTTTATTTACCAGAATACAGTCGGATCACAGCTATGAGAATGGCATGGATTGTTCCTATTGGCTAGTTTCTAGCTAATCTCATTGGTTGGTGAGCCAACAAAGATGATGAATTGATCACACACACACACACACTAAATCACACGATTCGTGAGAAAGGATGATATACTTATTTTATGCTGGTTCCTATCATGAATTCAAATAAATTCACTAAACTGTTGAAGTTTGCACTGAAAATACCGCGTCCAGAAGGATGATGAAGGCTTCGCAATTATAGCACCACCCTAGGTCAGACAGTCCACTCACAACACGATCGCATACCTGAGCTACAAGTCATGTCTATACTATATATATGTCCAAACCAAGTTCATTTTTAACAGTTTGAAAAACAATTTTTTTTCTTTGTTCAAATACGCTATTCATATGGTTGTCTTTGATGAAAACCGTATCCTGCATGTTACAACTCGTCACAATACATCACATCACTCCAAGTAATGTGAAGCTCATCATTAATATGGTCAGGGAAGTGAGTAGGTGGTGGTTAAGTTCAATTTTACAAACCAATAGAAAAACAGTGAAATTTGTGATGAAGTTCATTTAACACATATCTATCATAAAAAACTTCTAATACAATTTCACATATCTAGATTTTTTTATTATTCCTTTCCCATAGTTTATGAGTGGAATATATGGCGTCCATTTTACCCTGTTCCCTGAAGTCATGTCTAACTGACTACACAATTTCCCATAAGTTTTCATCTCTTCGTCACACGATATCCTCTATTTCATCCTCGGACAGATGCCTAACTTGCTGTTTCTCATTCGGGTTCCACTCGGCGGTATTCTCAGTGTGTGCCTGATCCATCTGCACTTCTTTTGCGAATATTTGTTGGGCTATTAAGTTCATGGTTTGTTTGTTTTGCAGTTTTGTTTCTTGTTACTAATTCTTTCTAGCCGGCCGGTTATATGATCTTCAGCATGGAATCATCGAAAACAGATATTGATAAAATTCTGAAGTCTATAAGAAATTTATTATTATTTCCTTTAATTCCTAGAGGAACATAGAGCTTCAGCCATGCGTCTCCATTGCGTTCGGTTCTCTGCTAAAGTTTTCACCTGGCTCCAAGTCTGCCCACTTGCTTTCATCTCCTCTTCACATGACCTCCTCCAAGTCACCCTTGCAGTGACGACCAACTCACCGCTTCCCTTTCGGGTTCCACTCGAGTAATCGCTTGTCTAGTGCTATCACTTGATGGTTTCCTCAGAGTATGGCCAATCCACCTCTATTTCTCTCTGTATACTTGCTGCACAATCGGTCCCCGGTTGGTTCGCTCCCAGAGATCTCTGTTGCTGATCTTTTCTGACTGGCCATCTGATCTTGAGTATTGAGCGGAAGCAGCTGTTGATAAAGGTCTCTGATCCGTATAGTAGCACTGACTTCACATTGGAGTTGAAAATCCGGATCTTATTTTTCATTCTGAGTGCTGTTGACCTCCACACAAGCTTGAGAGTAATGAAAGCTTGTCTTGCTTCCCCGATCCTTGCTTTGATATCCTCGTCAGTTCCGCCTGTAGTTGAAACGATGCTTCCCAGATAGGTAGAGCAGGTTGTTTCTTTCAGGTTCCTCCCATTTATGCTGATCGTTGTCTGTTGTTGTTGTTCTTGTCCAGGAATCTTCATCTCCTCTGTTTTCTCTATGTTCACCTGAAGTCCTATCTTTGATGTTTCTTCTGCCCTACCCTACTGGTCACGGCTTCCCACTAGAACTCCAGGTCACTGCCTGAATAAGGCCAGTCGCTAGTGAGCATCAGATTAATTTCCAAGTATTGGTTTTGTAGGGATTTTGTTTGATTGGATGGAGGATTTCATCATGAGGTGGGTGGGTGCGTACCGATGAACAGTCCCAAACTAGGACGAAACAGCTGTCCAGTACTCCTAGGTGGTTCTCTAACTGATGTTAGCTCATGATGAAATCCTCCATGCAATAAATGTAGATCTCAATATAGCAAAAATATTCATTCAGACATTTAGGAAAAAAATTGAGCAAAGAATATCCTTTTCGATAATTTCCTCTTCTGACTTTACAATTATATACATATATATATATATATATATATATATGTTTACATACATAGAATATTCTAGAATAGTCGTCAATAACAATATTGGTGCTTTTAAATATTATTGACTTGTTAGGACCAACAAAATTACAGTTCAAGAAAGTCGCATAACTTATAATAAGCATAAAATTACAATGTAAACAAGAAATATCAAATAAAATTAAGATCCGCGGGGATAACATTAGTGAAATATTAACACAAGGCATTACGAATGTGGTAAAAAGAGGTTTCACTGCTGCTGAATTATGCTATGTCTACAAAACCACTAGCATTTTGCGTTTGGGAGTAAAAGATAAACTGCCTAATTTCGCCTCTTCTGTGTGTATTTATCAGTTTGACTGCTCCTGTGGTTGTACAATTAGGCATGTTTATCGTCGGATTTCCGAACACCATCCTGCTTGGTTGGTTAATCAAGGGATAAACAGAATCCATACACAATTCTATTCTATCTTATCTCATGGATACAGAACACAAGATTGACGTTAAGGAGGCAGCTTTCAAAGTCATCTACCGCATACCAACTAATCTTAACTTTACCTTAAGAATTCGTCTGCTTACTACATATTGATGAGGCTGACTATTGGGATCCACATTAAGAAACCTAACTCATGTATCCAAAAGAAGTTGGTTTAGATACTGTCCTTACCTACCCACCCCCGTCTGGCCATCAAGGATTTAATGATCCTCAATTCGATGTGGAAATTTCCTTAATTTTATTTGATATTCTATTTACTACTACATTTTTATGCTTATTATAAATTATGCGTCTTTCTTGAACTGTAACTTAATTGATATTAACAAACTGACATCATTTGAAAAACACCGATATAGATATTGACGACTATTCTAGGATAAATTCCATACATTTATTCCACTTAATAAATTTGGATAAAGCAAGAACAACAGCTTTTGCAAAATAGAATGGTACCACCATTGGTTATTTCGTCGACTTCTCATCAGCAGCTTATATTATTATTATTATTAAGTTTATGCACAGAAACAATTTTAATATATTTGCACATAGTTCATTATTAAAGAAAAATCAATCAATGTATACATACAGTAGTAATATATATAATAATAGTCACTTTATCCCGAACAATAATGATCATACACAATGGAAACTCTGGACATTACGTAACGACGCATATACCAATATTGAATTTACTATGGAACATGAAAATGATGGAAAGTTCAACATCCTCGACATTGCCATACAACGTCTAGAACATGGTAGTCTCCAGAAGCTTTAAACGAGGACTAGTCAAGACTCTGTACCATACAGCTAGGAGATTATGCTCTATAGAGAAACTAGAGGGAGAATTTATGTTTCTTGAAAAGATGTTGAAAAGCAGCGGTAACCGTCAGAGGTTCATTAACAAGTACGGAAGATGTGAAGGCTCAAATGTCAAGCAAATCACAGTGGGGAAAAAGCCCATCTACATTCAACTTGATTGTAAAGGCGAAAATATTACAGCGATTGTCAACAGAAGATTGAGGACGTCACTAGTCAGAGCGTATCCTGCAGCTAAACTGGTTCCCGTCTATCGAGGAACATGATCTTTGATGCAACCAAAAATCGATAGATATCCTTCTCATGTTGACTCCAACTGTATATACAAATTTACATGTATCTGTGGGAGCAGTTACATTGGAAGAACAGAAAGAGGGGCACACCTACGATTTTCTGAATATGTACCCAAAAGCCTAAGTCTCAAGGGAACAAATGCAATAAACAGTGCCATCATCGGGCATCTCCTTGACACAGGTCATAGGGTGGATGTCGAAAGACCGTTCAAAATTATCAATAGGCAAAAGAGTTCAATTCTCCTCAAGTTTACCGAAGCAATCTCTATCAAGCGCTTGAAACCCGATTTAGGTGTTCCCAAAGAAGCGGTTATCAGTCTTCCTTTGTCCTGGCTGGTAACTGGATGTTTTCATCCTCTCTTTCATCTGATTACGTAATGTTGGAAGTTTCCATTGTGTATGGTCATTATTGTTCGGGATAAAGTGTTTATTATTATTATAAATATATATTACTACTGTATGTATATATTGATTGATTTTTGTTTGAAAATGAACTATGTACAAGTATGTTAAAACTGTTTCTGTGCATAAAATTAATAATGTCTTTGAGCTGTAAGCAGCTGATGAGAAGTCAAAAATTATTGTTTTTGTTCTATTCAAATTCTAGAATATTCTGTGCATATTAATATATATATATATATACATAAATGTATATATATATATATATATATATATGGAGAGAGAGTCAGAAGAGGAAATTATCGAGAACGATATTCTTTGGTGAATTTGTTTTTTTAATAAATTTAGATCCACAGATATCTATTGAATAAAAAAACAAAAACAACAACAGCAAAAGTAAGGACAATCATAGAAGTAGGAAGGTGAACAAGAGAAACTATACCTGACTAAGCTTGTCATGTAGTACATATTTACGATAGAGTAGCATTAAATCGGACAGTTTATCAATAGCTAAATAAATAGAGATGACTTGTCTCAACTGTTCCACGGAACGTCTTGATATTGTAGAGTTTTTTGTAGCTGTAATAAAACCGCATGTTTCAAAGCCTTCTTTTAAACGAGTTTCTAATTGTTCTTGTAAATTGACTGTTATCCAATGAATACGCTTAAAAGAAAAGCAAAGAAATGAAAGAATGAAGGATTAGCCGTCTTATACAACATATTGTCAATTGGGATTGCACATGAAAAGTATACAACAATTTACGTTTTGATAGTTATTATTATTATTATTAACAGCTGCCTTCACTGAATACTCAAGATCAGAAACAGGGATCTCTGGCAATGGACGAACCAACCCCGCAGGAACCAAGCTGTGCAACAAATATGCAGGAAGAAATGGAGGTGGATTGGCTGGCCATACTTTGAGAAAACAAACCATCATCAAGTGACATCACACGACAGGCTATCGCTAGAATGGAACCCGACTGAATGGGAAGCGGCGAGTTGATCGTCAGTGCGAGGGTGACATGTAGGAGGAGGCTATGGGAAGAGGAGATGAAAGCATGTGGGCAGACGTGGAGCCAGGTGAAAACATTGAATGAGAACCTAATGCAATGGAGACGTGCGGCTGAAGCCCTATGTTCCTCTAGCAGCTAAAGGAGATAATCATAATATAATAATAATTATTATTCTTAAAACACAAACGTCGTACATTACAGACACCAAGAGATGCACCACACAAATGTTGTCTCATATTTGGTGCGACGGCTGGGATACTACTACAACACCCAAATTGAAGAAGCTGGTTACCCTAAGGGAACATTCTCGCTCCTGAACCTCTGATTGAAAGTCTGATCCACAAGGAAGTGAAGCAATGTCGCCATGGTTTCCGGTGACGAAAACACGTTCATACGTCATTCGATAACATTAGGATTCTGGAACCTATACACACTATACATTAGGAATCAGGATTTATTAATTAATTAGCTCCCTGAGGTAGACCTACATATGTCCATCAGTTTGGTTGTGAGCACCAGATGTTCATGTTTTGCCGTTTCACTTTTGTGAGGAACATGTTGCCAGTCAATTATTGTCTTGTTGTTAATTCGTTTACAAATACTTCCTTGAATCTTCTTGTAAACTCATAATAAGTAACTGTTTTCTTTCCGTGTCAATTGTGATAACTATATCAATCACATATTCCAGTCACTGTTATTTCCTTTGAATGAAATCATCACGTCTAACTTCTCTGCTGAGAAGAATTAGAAAACATTCAGGTTCTTATTTCATCAATCCTATGCAGCAAATTATATTTCACATCAGCGGTTCAGTGGTAGAATCCCCGCTAACTACGCGTCACGCAGTTGCGGGCTCGATCTCCCTCCGACCGTTGACGTACACTTAAACCCCGTTCAGCCAATAGGAAGTCCAGAAAAGAGGTAAGGCTGGCGCGAGGCTAGCAACCCGACCCCGTAAAATAAGAATAACACCACATCTGCTTCTGAAAACTCAACGAGTCAAAATTTGAAGCCCCATGTTTCACTGGAAACACAAAGGAAAAAATTTTAAAAAAGAAAATTATAATCCCATATTAGTTTCTTTATAAGATGTATTACACAGTGAAACAGAATTACTGTTTACTGGATGACTCTTCGGACACAAATTTATTATAACACATAAACATTTCAATTATAATCACACAACTACGAAACTTCAGTTTGGCAGTTGTCTTGATTCTATCCAATTCGTCATCGAGGTAGCAGAACATTCCAGAAATATAGAACAGGTGTTGAATCATAACTATTACACCGGTTTGCGGCGGATTCGATAAACAAAGCTTCTGTTATCAATCTCTCCCTCCACCATGTTAGCTGTATTAGATTTTGAAACTGTCATCTTATCCCATCCAGCCTATTGTGTGGTTGTGTGTAATTGCATGTAGTGAGTACAATAGCTCAACTATTCCCTAGATTTCTTATCTTATTTGGGTCAAGCAATCTAGAGAATAGTTCAGCTATAGCACTCACCACATGCAATTACACACAACCACACAATAGGCTGGATGGGATAAGATGACAGTTTCAAAATCTAATACAGCTAACATGGTGGAGGGAGAGATTGATAACAGAAGCTTTGTTTATCGAATCAACCGGAAACACATGCAATAGGAATGATTCAACACCTGTCCCAGACGGATATCTGGAAAATTCTACTACCCCTACGACGACAAATACGAGAGAACCAAGAAAACTATAAAACCCAGCACCTACTACCGAAAGTAGGTATAAACACACAACGAACTTTGCAGTCTCATAGTAATCTTGCAACCTCATTACGCGATGTAAATAATTCAACTTTTCGGACAATTTTTCACATAAAGCGCGACACGCTCGGCAACTTTTTCTTCTGGTAAAGTGATGTTCAATTCAAACCAATACTTGAATGGGTCTTTCGATGAATTTGATTTGAATGGAAGCGTAATAGCATTATAAAGCTTCCAAGCCGTAGGGCAGCACATTAACGAAATTCCGGCAGAAGCGATAAAAGAAATCAGGGACATACATGACAGACTCTTTTATCGCTTACGCCGGAATTTCCCTGCACTACGGCTTGGAAGCTTTATAATGCTATTACGCTTCCATTCAAATCAAATTCATCGAAAGACCCATTCAAGTATTGGTTTGAATTGAACATCACTTTACCAGAAGAAAAAGTTGCCGAGCGTGTCGCGGCTTTATGTGAAAAACTGTCCGAAAAGTTGAATTATTTACATCGCGTAATGAGGTTGCAAGATTACTATGAGACTGCAAAGTTCGTTGTGTGTTTATACCTACTTTCGGTAGTAGGTGCTGGGTTTTATAGTTTTCTTGGTTCTCTCGTATTTGTCGTCGTAGGGGTAGTAGAATTTTCCAGATATCCGTCTGGGACAGGTGTTGAATCATTCCTATTGCATGTGTTTCCGGTTGATTCGATAAACAAAGCTTCTGTTATCAATCTCTCCCTCCACCATGTTAGCTGTATTAGATTTTGAAACTGTCATCTTATCCCATCCAGCCTATTGTGTGGTTGTGTGTAATTGCATGTAGTGAGTACAATAGCTCAACTATTCCCTAGATTTCTTATCTTATTTGGGTCAAGCAATCTAGAGAATAGTTCAGCTATAGCACTCACCACATGCAATTACACACAACCACACAATAGGCTGGATGGGATAAGATGACAGTTTCAAAATCTAATACAGCTAACATGGTGGAGGGAGAGATTGATAACAGAAGCTTTGTTTATCGAATCAACTGGAAACACATGCAATAGGAATGATTCAACACCTGTCCCAGACGGATATCTGGAAAATTCTACTACCCCTACGACGACAAATACGAGAGAACCAAGAAAACTATAAAACCCAGCACCTACTACCGAAAGTAGGTATAAACACACAACGAACTTTGCAGTCTCATAGTAATCTTGCAACCTCATTACGCGATGTAAATAATTCAACTTTTCGGACAGTTTTTCACATAAAGCCGCGACACGCTCGGCAACTTTTTCTTCTGGTAAAGTGATGTTCAATTCAAACCAATACTTGAATGGGTCTTTCGATGAATTTGATTTGAATGGAAGCGTAATAGCATTATAAAGCTTCCAAGCCGTAGGGCAGCACATTAACGAAATTCCGGCAGAAGCGATAAAAGAAATCAGGGACATACATGACAGACTCTTTTATCGCTTACGCCGGAATTTCCCTGCACTACGGCTTGGAAGCTTTATAATGCTATTACGCTTCCATTCAAATCAAATTCATCGAAAGACCCATTCAAGTATTGGTTTGAATTGAACATCACTTTACCAGAAGAAAAAGTTGCCGAGCGTGTCACGGCTTTATGTGAAAAACTGTCCGAAAAGTTGAATTATTTACATCGCGTAATGAGGTTGCAAGATTACTATGAGACTGCAAAGTTCGTTGTGTGTTTATACCTACTTTCGGTAGTAGGTGCTGGGTTTTATAGTTTTCTTGGTTCTCTCGTATTTGTCGTCGTAGGGGTAGTAGAATTTTCCAGATATCCGTCTGGGACAGGTGTTGAATCATTCCTATTGCATGTGTTTCCAGTTGATTCGATAAACAAAGCTTCTGTTATCAATCTCTCCCTCCACCATGTTAGCTGTATTAGATTTTGAAACTGTCATCTTATCCCATCCAGCCTATTGTGTGGTTGTGTGTAATTGCATGTAGTGAGTGCTATAGCTGAACTATTCTCTAGATTTCTTATCTTATTCGGGTCAACCAATCTAGAGAATAGTTCAGCTATAGCACTCACTACATGCAATTACACACAACCACACAATAGGCTGGATGGGATAAGATGACAGTTTCAAAATCTAATACAGCTAACATGGTGGAGGGAGAGATTGATAACAGAAGCTTTGTTTATCGAATCAACTGGAAACACATGCAATAGGAATGATTCAACACCTGTCCCAGACGGATATCTGGAAAATTCTACTACCCCTACGACGACAAATACGAGAGAACCAAGAAAACTATAAAACCCAGCACCTACTACCGAAAGTAGGTATAAACACACAACGAACTTTGCAGTCTCATAGTAATCTTGCAACCTCATTACGCGATGTAAATAATTCAACTTTTCGGACAGTTTTTCACATAAAGCCGCGACACGCTCGGCAACTTTTTCTTCTGGTAAAGTGATGTTCAATTCAAACCAATACTTGAATGGGTCTTTCGATGAATTTGATTTGAATGGAAGCGTAATAGCATTATAAAGCTTCCAAGCCGTAGGGCAGCACATTAACGAAATTCCGGCAGAAGCGATAAAAGAAATCAGGGACATACATGACAGACTCTTTTATCGCTTACGCCGGAATTTCCCTGCACTACGGCTTGGAAGCTTTATAATGCTATTACGCTTCCATTCAAATCAAATTCATCGAAAGACCCATTCAAGTATTGGTTTGAATTGAACATCACTTTACCAGAAGAAAAAGTTGCCGAGCGTGTCGCGGCTTTATGTGAAAAACTGTCCGAAAAGTTGAATTATTTACATCGCGTAATGAGGTTGCAAGATTACTATGAGACTGCAAAGTTCGTTGTGTGTTTATACCTACTTTCGGTAGTAGGTGCTGGGTTTTATAGTTTTCTTGGTTCTC